TAAACCAGTGACAATTCTGCTTCTATTCGTTTCAAATTCATTAAAATCAAACCTGAATTGACCCCCACAATATTTTTTTGAAAAACCATAGTTTTTATTGAATTTCACAGTGTACTGTAGCGTAAAATTGTAGGTAACAAATAATTATATTGCATGTGAATTTGTGTTTTGAACAAGAAAGACGTTGGCATGTCCGTTTTTATGCAATTGAAAATTTTTATGATGTTTTATATTTTATTATTTAGGTAAAAAGTATAAAAGATACGGGGGTAATCGACCACTAGTACAACATTTATAAGCCGAAGAAAAAGCCAACAGCAAAAAAAAAAAAAACCCATCAGATTCCGTCCACAAAACATTACACTCTCAGAAACTAAGAATTGAGCACTATTACATTTATCTCAGAATAAGTAAAATCTATGTCATCCAAACCTCAGTTTTCAAGGTGCAAAAAATAAACAGGTGTCTTCTCTTCCGTCCGCAATTTTTGGGGAAAGTAAAATCTAAATTTAGAACCATGGTTGAAACTGAAACTACACATGTATGATAAAAATAGAACGTGTTATTTTTTTCTTTATCAAATTCAGATTTCAAAGGGATAGCGAAACTTGTTTTCTTTTTTGTTGTGCTTTTGTGTATCATTCAGCAGTAGTATGAGGTAGGGGAAGAATGGGGAGGGGGTGAAGAAAATTAGTTCTACAATGTCGGGGCTTTTTATAACCGACTATACGGTATGGATTTTCTCATTGTTGAAGGCCGTATATATGATTGCCTTTAACAATTGCTTACATCCACATCCTTTAAGGTAGCTGGGGTGTCTAAATGTTGGATGATAGATTTTTCTTAAACTTCTGTAAGACTTCTGTGTCAATGTTATATAAATTTCAATATAAAAACTGGGGATCACGGACCTTGTTTTTTCGTAATAACACATTGAAATTAACGAAATTTGGGTTATTTTATATTGTTAATATAGGGGAAACTTAAGTTTTCCTTATTGCAGAAACATTAAACGATGGAATCAATTGGCTAAAAGTCGATGAGAGAATTGCTTTTCATTAATAACTCCGAAATATCAAATAAAAATAGGGTGTCACATGCCTTATTTTCTTGAAAAAAATCCCCAAATATTTTAAATATACTTTACGACACTTAATTTCTTGATAGTTCAATCTTTAAATTTCAAGTTTTAGGTATTTTGTTGTATATTGAATGATACTTGGTAAAATATTTTTAAAACAAAAAAGTTTTTGCAACATGATCAGAACGGACGCTCAGAAAAAGGAACCCGATCTACCTTAAACGTGGCAGATAGTTGTCTCATTTGCAATCATACCACATCTCCTTATGTTCATATTATATTAACAAAACTGCAATTCAAATTTGCACTATATACAGGAACAATTTGTATGGCACTATACTAGGTAAACTCGTATAGCATCGCTCTTGGTACATTCTTATAGCATTACACCAGTACATTTATAGCATATCACTATGCACAAAGCTTTAGCATTACACTATACACAATGCTATAGCATTAAACACGATATACACAATGCTAAGGCTAACACTGGGAATGATCTGTGCTACGTGAAGTTAAAACTCCAATCTGTTTTACCTTGCTAAAATTCATATGCGGGTTCTTCTTTTGACCTTATTACAGCCATAAAAATTCTCAAGATAATATGCAGATGCAGTTTTCTTATTTTTTGGAGTCTTGCATGTGGATATTTAACAAATAATGGTACAAAAAATTATTTCCTTTTTTACTTAAAATCTCCAGCAAACATTATATCATGCTTTGTCGTGTAGTTAAAGAAAAGGGAAAGCGATCGAGACAGGAAATTTTTTAAATAAAATTGCAGAGTTGTGTCACGTGCACGCGTGTGAACCTGACAAATAAAATGGGCTTTGTGCGCAATACCTCGAATAGCGCCGGAAATGGTGAGGATGAAAAGATGCAGCAAATTATATTCACTTTTTTAAAATACAAACATGCAGAAATAAGATTTAAAAAAAGACGTGTATACGCGATCCCAATATTATAACCGATTATTTAAATACGTATAGAACCATTCTGCCAACGCTGTGTTAACTGGGACAATTTCAAACTTGATATTTGATTCATAATTATTAAAACAATACACTATAAAAAAAAAAGAAGATGTGGTATGATTGCTAATGAGACAACTCTCCACAAGAGTCCAAATGACACAGAAATTAACAACTATAGGTAACCGTACGGCCTTCAACAATGATCAACGCCCATAGTCAGCTATAAATACATGCATTTCAAAAAAGATGTGGAACCCTGTCTAATTAAAAAAAGATGGAGTTAAAGTCTATACAGTAACTTTCTTTCACTTGCAGTATATTTATTTGCCAATTTGTTTTTTTTTTTTGGCAGCAGAATTATCCTTAAAAACAGTTAGTTTATTTCCTTATCAATTGATTACGCTTGAGCATTTGCAATAATTAGGAAAATGGGTTATACACACTCACGATTTTGTTACAACACTGTACGGTATAATAGCGTTATAGAGTAGAAATTGTGATGACGTTACAGTAGACATCAATAACGTCGCCGAATGTTTTTATTCTTTCCGCTAAAAATCAAACTTTAACAGGATATAGCTTGAAAACTAGCACGGTTGCTAAGGACTTTCTTTGCACCAATGGGTTCGTCGTTCATCTTTGAATCGCATATCGATTTTTAAAAAAATTCTGTGGACCAACGAATTAGAAAATCTTAATAAAGTAAAAATATCTGCCGATTTTTATGATTTTCCCTATATATCCTTTGTATTTTTGGCGTATCATGCTGTTAATTTCAACAGCTTGTATTTGAAAAACGAAAACGGTTACCCCTTTTTTTTATTTTATTGTCTGGTGTATTTTTACAAGCAGAATCCACATGTAAAATTTAAAAAAATTCTGTGGAGTAGTTAATTACGTACACTTTGCCTTTAGAACTTTGATTGTTCCCTTTGATGGCTTTGGTTCTTTCTTTGTTAAAATAGGATAAAATTTAGGAAGCTGACCATAATATGTTAACAAAATTAGTCTCCCAATAAACTAGAGACTCTAAAGAGCCTGTGTCGCTCACCTAGGTCTATGTGCAACAATGGACTCTCTCCAACATTGTAGACGAGAATAGAATTCATGACAAAAATTTCTTTTTTGTTGATCTTGTATTGCAGATCATTTTGTCTGTTTGGTTTTTCTCTATCACCTTTAATTTTTGCTCAAACACAAAAGAGGATAAAAAAGTCCCCATTAAGGGGCAATCACTCCTATGAAGAGTGACAGTCTACCAACTATATCCGCAAAATTGACATGTTGTGTATCTTGCCTTGCTGATCTTATTGGTTTTTCAAAGTTTCTACTTACCCGTATCTATTATAATTTCTATCATATATGGCAAAATGCAAAAAAATTGGTAAAAATCGTCATTAAAGGGCAATAACTCCAATAAGGAGTTGTCAGAAAATTTCCTCCATATTGTCTTAAATGTAGATCTTATCTTGCTGATCATTTTTTTTCTTTAAGTTTCTATCTACATGTATCTATTATTATTTTTAAGATATAAGGCAAAAATACAAGAAATTGGTAAAAATCATCATCAAAGGGGCAATAACTCTAATTAGGAGTCCAATGAAGATTACAACCAAGCATACTTATTCGAAGATCATGTCTTGCTGATCATTTTTGCAACTTAAAGTTTCTCTCTTATCTATTATAGTTTTCAAGATAAAAAAATGGTAAAATTTGTCATTTAAGGGCAATATCTCCTATAAGAAGTTGCCTGACAGTTTTGACGTCATGAACAATTGGTAGAGTTCAACATTCTGAACATTTTTGCCCTGTCAGAATTTCTCTACTTATAACGGTTTTCAAAATAATAGACAAAACTTGCATTTTACCCCTTACATTCTATTTTTAGCCATGTCAGCCATCTTGGTTGGCGGGCATGGTCATCAGACACATTTATTAGTCCCCTACCAACGAAGTTGAAGGGGACTTTAGGTTTGCACTCCATCCGTCTGTCTGTCTGTCTGTCCATCTGTCAGTCCGGCAAATCAGTTTTCCACACTTTTTTTCTTCGTCCTTGAAGATATTGATATGATATTTGGTGTATTGTTTTATCATGACAAGTTACAGATCAAGTTCGAATTTTGTTCCGGTTTGATGATTTTGTGCAGAGTTATGGTTCTTGGACTTAGAAAATTCACTCAAATAATCAGTTTTCCGCACTTTTTTTCGTCATGCTTGAAGATATTGATTTGATAATTGGTAAATAGTTTTATCATGACAAGTTACAAATCAAGTTCGTATTATGTTCCGGTCTGATGATTTTGTGCAGTGTTATGGTCCTTGGACTTAGAAAATTCACTCAAATAATCAGTTTTCCTCACATTTTTTCATCATGCTTGAAAATATTGATTTGATAATTGGTATATAGTTTTATCAGGACAAGTTACAGATCAAGTTCGAATTTTGTTCGGGTCTGATGATATTGTGCAGAGTTATGGTCCTTGGACATAGAAAATTCACTTAAATAATCAGTTTTCCACACTTTTTTTCATCATGCTTGAAGATATTGACTTGATATTTGTTATATAGTTAACACCATGACAAGTTATAGATCAAGTTAGCATTTTGTGCCATTACAATGAATTTTTAACCGGTAGGGGACTATGTATTGCCATGCAATACTCTCAGAATGCTTGTTAAACTAGATACCCAATGATGATTGTGGCCAAGTTTGGTAAAATTTGGTCCAGTAGTTTCAGAGGAGAAGATTTTTGTAAAAGTTAAAGTATGACGACTGACACCAAGTGATGAGAAAAGTTCACTTGGTACTTTGGGCCTGGTGAGCTAAAAATCCAAGACTTGGCATCTCATACAATTACAAGTGTTTTGTTCTTGACACATCTAAATAGCATCTCATACAATTACAAGTGTTTTGTTCTTGACACATCTAAAAAAAAAAAAAAAAATTAATGAAAAGTGTTTTATTATCACAAAGATTTCTCGACAATGCTGGATGACTAATCAATTTGCAATGGTAGTGACATAATTGTAGACCATCAAATTGGTTGTATTCTTGGCCTGTCTGTTATATCTTTTGAAAGCAATAAATGCCTGTTTATTGAAAGACTGAGGTATTGAATAGATCACTTTGTCTCTTTATGCCTTGTTACTGTCAAAATAGTCCTTTGCTTCATTAATCTTTGATGCAAGATATGGTGAACCACCTGAAACAATAAGAAACTTTCTGTTTAAATTCCCTGCTGCGTTTATATCTCAAACCTCTGTATATTATTGGAATGAATACAAGGAGCAAGGTAGCAAGGGTATACCGGTAGGTCAATGAGACAGAAACAGGAGGTTTCCACCTTTTATGATTTTAAACATTCAGCATGGAAATCTTTTAGTGATAATGTTGATTAGAACATAAGAGTAGCATAGATTGACAGTTTTTGGTTATTCTATTTAGACATGTTTGCTAACATTACTTTTGATGTTTTTTTGAATATCCAAACTCAAGAATTTAATGAATTAAAATTTAGAATAGCTGTCTCAATGCAGTTATATTATATGTTTGATGTATGTCTTGTACTAGAATAAGAAATTCAACAATTTCTACGGTATATTGGCATATGAGCATTTCAAAAATAAAGAGTCTGCTTGAAGATGTCTCCTCTTTGACAATTTATTTTAGTCAACCAATCATTAAAAAAAAAGCAGTGTTCACACAAAGATTTAAAATACTTTTACAGATTATACATACTGTACATGTGGAAAGTTCAGCACTGGGATTATTTTCCCTTATTTGGTGTTCAAGTCAAATGTACAAAAATGGTAATATGTAGTGTTAATTCACAATTGATGTGCAAATTAAACCTCGGCTTAAAATATTTCAGAAAAAGAGAATTTTTCACAAATTCTGTTATATTATTGAACAATGATACTTCCTACACACTTTTTCCTTGGATCAACTTTTGTCCACTAAAACTCTTTTAGATTTAAGAAATATCATTTCCATAGTAAAGATTACCTCTGTCTGGATGATTTAATAACATTATTCTTTTATGTGCATCTTTCACCTTGACTTTACTTGCTGATGGACTGAAAAAGACATGCTTAACAATGAATTAAAAAAGGTATATAAAAAAGTACTTAATTTACATGTATTGTATGACAGACAACTGTGATTCAAAATATTTTCCACCCTTTTGTATGTAGTGAGTCTTATCCTGCAAGATCTTTTGCCAGATTTTTCATTTTCAGTGGAAGAAAAGGGGAGCTTTGTGCACATGCTCTGATCTATTGTCTTACTAGAAAAATTGTGTAGATTTATAAACTATATATCAGTGAAAGTCTGTCCTCCTGGTTAAATTACATTTATTTATGTATATTTCACACATGCAAAATATGTTGTATTTTGTTTATATTCTCATCTCTGTAACTATGTTATTTAGTTAATGAGGATAAAGATCTATCTAATAAAAAAATGATTTAATTGTCCAATCAAGTCTTACTAACTGATCCTGTAATCAGAATAATTTTCTGTTCAAGTCTTACTAACTGATACTGTAATCAGAATAATTATCTGATCAAGTCTTACTAACTGATACTGTAATCAGAATAATTGTCCAATCAAGCATACTTTCAAGTCTTTGGTCATCTCTGCTTAAAATGTCTACCCTCATCAAATAATCAATTTGTGATTTTTTTCCCAAACATAATCTTATAGAAATAGAGGTATGTCATACTATGAACCAACTTATTGTTTACAGAATATATTTTTCTTTTTTAACAATTACACTGCAATATATTTTCCATGACTTTTTAACTTTGTTGATGTATTTACATAAAAGTGACATACACATATTTCCATTATTTTTCTGATCTTGATCATGTTGATAGTGATATAAAATAAATCATTCGTAAAAATTGGTTGACTTACAGTATATTGTTGCCAATTTTGAGTATATGTATATCTATTACGGTAGTGGAATAATGTGGCCAATTTTGTATATTTTTTTTAGTGGCATCATGTATAATGACAGGACATTTTCATTTGAATGGCAAATATCTATTGCTAGCAAAAGCTTACATGTTCAACATCATATCATGGATGCCTTTAATGTTAAATAGTATTCATATTTCAATTAAAATACCAACCTTACTCCTAAAATTAAACCAGCTTCTCTTTTTGACATTTTTGGATCAAATCCCCCTTTATAGTACTTGCTCAATGCCTGGAAAAAAATAAACAATTTTTAAAATGTTTTTTTTTTAAATTAACCTTAAACATGTTAAAATTTAATTGAAACTTTCCAGTGACATACCACTATTCCAACTTTATCAATGCCCACAACTGACCACAGAAGAACATGTATTGTTCATCAAATAGGTAGTATGTTGGGTTTATTTTGGATCTAATTTAGATAAGACCCTTTACAATGGAAGTAAAGCAGTTGGTCCAGGCAAAATGTTTAAATTTAAACAAAGTTTCAGTATTCAAAATTAATCAAGAAACATTTTTTCTTTTTGGCTTACTATAGACATACCAGTATTGTTTGGAATAAACATCAATTCAAAGTTGGAAGCAATACTTAAGATTACCTACGTTTTAAGACTCTAATCTATATTCATGTTAGATTTTTAATATATTAGCGAAGTTTTAGTTTCAACTACATTGTTTGTATGTAATGTTTTGTTGCATGTACCTCAATCAGAGATGTATGATGCAAGAGATAGGCATCTAGGCCAAATCTTGTCATATCAATTTTTTCATTAAATCAAGTTCTAAATACAAATTCAAATGTTAACATTTGAGAGGAAAAAAAACAAAAATTCAAATAATACCAGAAAAATCCACCAAGAAAATCATTCAGATTTTAGTTTTTATTCAATCATTCAATACACCATACATTTGTAACTGTAACACAGAAAATAAAATAGAAATATAGAATAAAGTTCCACCACAACCCCTCTTTTCTTAACTTCTAAGAAATTTCAATATTTTTATGTAAATTTTTAGGAGACTTTCATTAATAATTCATAAAATCTTTATTCTAAAAATGTTTCAAACCTTTTGAACAGTATTTGGAATATACGAAATATTTAAAACAAAGTGATTTTTTTCTTACTGAAATAGAAATTTGAAAAATAATGAGAGAACTCACTTCAACTGTATGACATTTTAGTACATAATCATGAAACAAGTTGCCTTTTAATTCAATAACCCAATCTCTGGTATTGTATATCAATGCATCTACCCGTCCCAATGCTTATAATGTCTTGTGTTGTCCCTCTTCATTTTCAACACAGTCAACAAGATTTATACATAATTAAGTAACATATATTAGTCAGTATATTGTTGTTGTTGAACTTGTTATTTTATTCCAACAATATCTCATTTAAGTTACAAAAGCAATATTACATACCCCAGATGCATCCATCTGTTTTTTCAGTGTCTGTGTTACAGTTTTAGCATGTCTGGTTAGATATCTCCCTATAATTATATGAAGTATTCAATTTAAGAATCATAATTATTGTGGATACATATCTTTGTGGTAGCCCAAAAGAACATATCAAAATTAATCATCACATCCATATAATTTTTTAAAAGCAAAACCATACAAAAAAGAATGTCAATCATGTTTATTGTAGTCTAATGTGCATCTAATAAATATTATGCATGTTATAGAATATTTGACAGTGAAATGTTGATCATGTATTGAGCTCATTGTTCTATAAAACAATGAATTTAAGTTCTAAACCCATATTGGATGTTGTCAAAAATACACTTAAAATAATTGCTGCAGGATGCAAAGAGACCAACATCTATTCAACCAATCCAATCAGATGTGGTAGTGATTAGTATTTGTTGATTACTTCCCTCATATGTTCCTCCAATAACATAGGTAACTGTTAACAAATATGACATAGTATTACTTGTGATTCTATGGACCATATTACCGTTAAGGTCTGAACTTCTTCGTTCATCCTTGAAGACTTTCAAATAACAGTCAAGATGAAACACAGCATTAAAACCAGTGTTCATTTGATATATTGTATTTTTCAAACAATTTTTTGCCTCATTGATATCTGTCCTATATCCCTTCTTTTTCATTTAAACATCCAGTACAGCTAAAAGTGCACCTATTGAGCACTCCATTCAACATTTGTAGCTGTTAATGTAGTCATTAAACGCCGCTTTCTCTTTTATACAGTACTGTATATCACCTACCTCCAAAACCCACTGCTGCTATACCAAGTCCTGCTAGAATCAGATTGGAGGTCTGAAAATAAACACATAAAGCTATTTACTTTTATAACTGATAATACATTTGTAATAGTTGTTAACTTATATTTTAATTTTATTTGACTAAAGAAAAAAATCCTCGCTTTGTATTGGTTTGGGATGGGAGTTGGTCAGATTTTTCAGATCAATGATTACTAATGAAGAGACATCAACTGATGATCATTGCAATGATTTTTTTTCTCTGACCTCAAAACTTTCAGTCAAACCAGACTAAAAGGTCAATAATTGTTTGAAAATGTACTGGTAAACTTTTTACAAATGGGTCATTTCTTTCAAATGTACATTGCATTTGAATTGAATATTTGTGATGTCAATTGCTTGTTACATTGTATATGAGTAATGATCATATATGTAGATCTACATTGCCTTTTTTGTTGAGTGAAATAAAATAATATCCCCTGGTTTGTTTGTGCTAGTTCAATCTGTGTTGGTAGTAATATAATCAAAATAAGCATCAGTGTTTATTGTAACCAGTTTTTTTACTATGCATTCTTGGCTTTTTGAAATTCAAAATGGAACATTAAGGCCAAAGATATGCAGGGACTGAAAATTCCTAAAGAACAAGACTCAACTAAAGTGCATTTTGGACCTACATTTTTTCGAACAAGTCACAGCCTGTTAGAGTTGCCTGTATTGCATTGATAAAATGTATTCAACCATTAAAAATAATCTAATTCAACTTTGTGATAATGTTGACATACAACGAAGATGTCTGGCTTAGTTCAACATGTTGCAAATTAGCAATACACACTCCTCATGAATATTATAATGAGTTTTCATTCTGTTTCAAGCAGTGTTTTATTGAAGAATAATACTATTCAGGTCAATCGCAATACAACGCAGAGTCTCACAACTTTCATTTTCAGAAACATTGTTTAATAACCACTGGCACTTGTCTCTGAAAAAAAAATGCTATATACCTTAATATAACACAAGGTGATTCACTTGTATTTTTGAAAAATGTCGCCCAGTCGCAAACTTCCGTTATATTTTGATGTCTCGGTTGTTAACCCCGGTTGACATACTTGGGGAGGCCTGCTACAAATGATTCTGACAACAAAGGTAGGCGTGTTATACACCATTGTGTAGATAAATCAATTTAGATTTACGGCATAACAAGTTTTAGTGGGGTTGACAACCGAGAAATCAAAATATAACAGAAGTTCGCGACCGGGTGACATTTTTCAAAAATGTGAGTTAAGTACCTTGAGTTACATTGTACATGAACATGATGAAGGTATATAGGAATTTTTTTTCAGAGACAAGTGCCTGTGTTAATAACGTCTACATGAGGTACATGTAAATATTCTTCGCCAGCAACTTTTAAAGAAAATGCCATGAGAGGAATTAAATGTACAGTCAATGATTCAACACCTGCATATATATGTAACATATAAGAGAAATACTATGATAGGGACAAGCAAAATTGAAAATTGCAAGAAAGTTGGAAAGAAAAGTTTTCATGTGATTGATATGACACTGACGAGATGTTATGTATCTACTGCTGAAAATACCGAAAATTCGTCAGAATTATGCAATGCATTCACACTGGGCAGAGAACTATAAATATTAGGATACATTGTAGATCCACTTTGAATTCATAAAAACTGTCAGAAACACTGCCTTTCAACCCTTTGCACAAAACACTTGTTTAAAGATTTAGGCTGGTTTTGAGATCCAGTTCAAAACCCAGTACATCTTTTGCCATAACTCCATTGGTCAGTCACTGTTGAAATAGGAAGAAAGGCAACAGAATTGCCTTGAAATCTAATTCAATACAGCACAAGATGTAAACCAGTAATGCAGTATTGTGATCGCCATAGTCATTTATAAATGAATTTATTTTTTTTGGTGATTTGATGATTAATTATTAAATGTTAATAATTATTATGTATGATTACTGTTAATTGGTATTTACAAAGCCAAATTTGGTGTTATTGTTCTGTGTTTGAAACGCATGATTGTTGTTATAACTAGCTTTGATTGCAAATATCTTCAGCCTTTCTTTTACAAGTTTTAGATGAATGAACTTTGCCTTGATCATCACTGGGACACAACATATTGTATTGTAATAGTCCAAGATCATCATGACAATTATATTCATGATTCATTTCGTCAAAATAATTAATAAAACACTGAAGGAAACCTGTTTATGTGTAACGGGAGCGAGTTTTCCTTCTGACTTCGTTGTCTTCCCAAGTTCTGGGATATTGGACAAGTAACTACGTATATAAACCAGATGTTTATTTTATAGACATATACGGTTTCAGAACACAAGTTTACAAACAATAAATATAATATAAGTGGTGGCTAGTCTACTTCTTGTATAAATAGAGGTTCCATATCTGCAAGTCAAAGTATGAGCGTCTGCTCATTTCAAATCCTAAGCTGTAGACTGCCCTCAACCCAATGAGTGACGTCATACTTATAGTTCACAGGGACAACTAGCCCAGCCGGGATGTCAGGCACGTGCAAGAAACAGGAAGTCCCGACAAGAATAATTACATGGCCGGTCTCGGGAGAAAGAGTTATGAAACTATAAATAATACTAATATTAACCAATTTCCCCATATAAATAGTATAATTAACAAGTAAACAAAGTGATCACCATTACATTTGTTTTTAAAATATCACTTTATTTTAAAACAATAATAAAGACTTAGACCCTGTTCACACTTGGACATTTAGGTCGATTTAAACTAGATCGGTTCACTTTAGATTGATTTAAACCCATTGTGATAGCTTTGAATTGATCTTGAATTGGTCTAAACTAAAACACCAAAAGAGGTAGTTTAGTTTTTATCAATCTAAAGTGAACTGATCTAACGTTAAATTTGAATGCAGAGATCGATCTAAACTAGTATGATTGAATCGAAAATAATTTGTGCGCATGTATGGCAGCAAAATTAAATGTGCAATTTATTACAAACTGGATGACCAACATATATGGGCTGAAAATTAGCAAAAATTGTACGAACAGCAGTAATAACATTTGAACCTGGAATTCAAGTAAAACAATAACTTCATCCATTATTTTTTTGCAAGCATGTGTATCAACACATTAATTTGATTAAATATTTCTATTTATACACAGTATTTACAATTTCACGGTTAATAAGGTCAAATCGATTGCAATTTTACTTGTATTGTGAACGCTGTGGTTCAGATTAGACCGATAGAGATCGTTAGGATTAAAGATAATGTGAACGCTAACTGGTTTTATTTAGATCTATTAAAAAAAATCTAGTCTGAACGGGATCTTATTCATAGCAATACACTAACTTGGCAGTATATTCAGTTCGTTGATAATTTGTGGCTATTATCTGGCAGAAGCAGAAACTTATATATCTATTCCACACAACACCAATAAAAGGGTGCTAACGTGAAAGGGGGCGAATTTGAATGGGAGCGAACGTGAATTTGGGCGAACGGACCCGGATTCACCAAAAACCGGGTGATAATCATAACAAGGATTTGTATAGTAAAAACCTTTTTGTATAGTAAGAAGGTTCTTACTATACAAATCCTTGATCATAATAATTTTCGGAGGTCAAGACATATTTTTCTGACCAGAATGGCAGAAAACAGCTATGACCTCCGAATCCTGGTAGGGATTGTCACTTGACAAGTGTAAACACTACAACCTTAATTTCTCTGTCTTTTCTATATTCCATTCAGTATTAAGATATTTACCATTTTCGAAATGCGTAATAATATATAAACAGGTGAAGAAAGTCCAAGCAGAATTTCGTCAGTCACCTCACCGTCGACTTACGTAAGGGTGTCATAATTACGAACATATATTATATAACAATTATGTACATTATTATATAACATTATTTAAGTTAAAGATAAGTGGACAATAATATATAATTAATTCGTATAAAAAAATATATTTTTATCTTTCTTTAAAAATTTGATTTACGACATTCGTCGGTGTCTAAATCCCAAAGCACACCGGATTAACCTACATTATCCGACATTCTCGTTGACAGTATTTTCATTATATATATTGAACATGAGACTACTATAACAGTTACACAGTGCTATACTAGTTTCATAAAGAACACACCACTTTCCAGACACACATTCAATTCATTTTGACACCTATAGTAAAAGTCAAATTGGTGACATTAAAAAGTAATTTAAGCATGGTTAGCCTGATCGGATAACCAAAGACATACTAAACATGTCTCCGGATAAATTATAAATCTGATTAAAAATACAGATCATATATCTACGCTTCGCTTACAAGGCTACCAATCAGATCGATTTCCAAAGCCGGTCTGATAAGTTTTCAACCTTTAGTCTCTTCTTAATATAATAATAATATGAGGCAGGCATTACCTGTGAAAGGGGACGAAGTCTATATAAATTATTATTTTTTAATTCAAACATATTTTAAGTTCTTAATCTGTTAAAAAAGAAACGGAAATACCGTAACGTTTCCGATTTTGGTTCTGTTGTTAGGGATTTTATATGTGACGTTATTTTAATTATGACGTCATGTTCAATGTAAACAAAGAAACGCTATCATCAGGTAACGTTTTTTCATATCAAAGAATAATTAGAAATGAAATTGTTATTGTGTTCCTTCCTATATTTTACTGGACTGATAAATATATATTTCACTCAAAGTCTCATGACAAACGAGACCGGAAGAAGGAAGTAGATTTCTGCGCAAATGCGGGAGTTAAAAAAAGTTACAAAAAAAAAGTTAACGATTTTGAGTTCATTAGTACAATGAAAATTTCGGGAAATTTTCCCGATTTTTTTTTTTTTTTTTTTTTATTGATTTTTCTACTGTAATAGGGGACTTCGTCCCCTTATTACCAACCGTCTCTTGTACGAACACTATGTAAATAAAGATTTTATTTATAAAGAAGTTTGCAAATTAAACTGTTTTAAGAGAACACGAATAGATATCATGCCTGATAGATTCATCAAAGACGGAGCGACCGCTCTGGTTAAAACCCCTGCTGATAACTTTTCTGGCGAATCTATCAATCATATAGTTATAAACCCTGACTTAATTAATGCTAACCCTTCTGGAGCACTTGATATCACCCTGGTTTTTGGTGGGGTTCGTGTTGCTCGTTCAATAGTTTTTTTTTTTTTGTGTTTTTATACCGTTGTTTTTCTTTTAATTGGCTGTGTTTCAGGAGGGTATTTTTTGCGATGGTGTTGTCATGCTGATTTAAGGAGCTCTTATTCAACTGGCAATTGTCTTATTCGTCTATTTGAACACATTAAATTACAAACACCAGAAGGTTTGATATTTACAGGAATGGTAATGATAGACTTTACATAAACTTGAGTATTGGGAACAGTGGACCATCAAATATTATGCCAAAAATTAAGATCTATGGGCGCAAAAGATATCAAATGGTTTTAGGTCCTTTTTATCATAACCTGGACCTAAACCACTTGTAAATGTAAATGGAACGAAATCTGAACTCCAGAATATTACCTATAAAGTACCTCAGAGATGCATTTAAGGCCCTTTAATTTTGTTTATTACATCAATGGCATGTCTATCAGTATTCAACCAACTCCAAACTCCTGCTGTACGCCGATGGCAACACTATAATCTGTTCTCATAACGAACCACAACTTATTTCATAGACGTTAAGAAAGGAATAAGAGTCTTGCAGCAACTGGCTCATTGATAATAAGCCATCTTTACATCTTGGTATAATATGATGCTTTATTTTTGGTTTGAAACGTAAATTGTAGACACTGAGTAACACTTTTCAGATAGAATGCAACGACCATAGTATCAAATCAGTCAAAACTTAATATTTTGGCTTAGAAACAGACCAAAACTTATTAGAAAAAAATACAACAAACTTAAAGGTAAATTCGACTTTGAATTTTATGTACCGTAATGCAAGCTATTTGTCAAAACTGAACTTACAACTGCTGTAATCCAATATCACTTTGACTACCCCAGTTCCTCATGGTATAATAAAGTATTACAAACTAAAAAATAAGTTCAGATTGCTAAGAACAAAACTAAAATTCCTGATAAAACTTTTTAAAGGAATTTTACCTTTTACTTACCGTAACACCCTGCACATATTAGTAAAAGTTCTAGCTCGAAACCCGTAGGATAAGTTAGCAGAACAGCAATGAACCCTATGTGAAACGGATGAATAGATGGACAGGTGAACGGACAGGGAGGGGTAAAACAATTTGCCTCCGAAATTATAACGCAAGAGCTATTGCACACTCATAGTATCAAATCACAGCCAAAACTTAATATTTTGGCTTAGAAACAAACCAAAACTTATTAGGAAAAAATACAACAAACTTAAAGGTAAATTCGACATTAAATTTTATATACCGTAAAGCAAACTATTTGTCAAAACTAAAACTCGCAAAACTCTTACAACTGTTGTAATCCAATATCACTTTGACTACCCCTGTTCCTCGTGGTATACTAGGGTATTACAGACTAAAAAAATAAGTTCAAATTGCTCAGAACAAAACTAAAATCATAATAAAAACTTTTTAAAGGAATTTTACCTTTTACTTACCGTAACACACTGTACATATTTGTAAAGTTCTAGTTCGAAAACCGTAGGATAAGTTAGCAGAACAATGAACCCTATGTGAAACGGATGAATGGATGGACAGGTGAACGGACAGGGGTAAAACAATTTGCCTCCGAAATTATAACACAAGAGCCATTGCACACACTAAGATGTATCACCTGCTTAACTGGTTATGATTGTATTTTATGTTTTATGTTTTCATCTGAGAAACAAATCTATAACCACGAAACCTTACGTTGACCAATGAACCACGAAACTGAGGCGAACGTTAGATGAACTCTGCAAAACAAAAATGTGCAATTTACCAATGATCTGATTAGAATTCAAATCTTTTGGAACTCACGTGCTCATATGAGCATAACAAAATCTGTCAGAGATCTATATTGTAACTAGATTGACAACTTACAATTATAACATTCATCAAATATGTTTATATCATATGAGAAACGGACTTACTACCTAAAACTAAAGACTGACCAATGAACCATGAAAATGAGGTAACGAACACGTTACTAAGTCAGGAATCTGATGTTCAGTAGTTGTCGTTTGTTGATGTGGTTCATAAGTGTTTCTCGTTTCTCGTTTTTTACTAAGTATAGATCAGACCGTTGATTTTCCCGTTTGCATGGTTTTACACTAGTAATTTTGGGGCCCTTTATAGCTTGCTGTTCGGTGTGAGCCAAGGCTCCGTGTTGAAGACCGTACTTTGACCTATAATGGTTTACTTTTATAAATTTTGACTATGATGGAGAGTTGTCTCATTGGCACTCATACCACATCTTCTTATATCTATCTACGTACACGTATTAGATACAGAACAAAGGTAACAAAAAGAACAGGCTGATAACAACCGTTGCCATCGCCTCGGACTTGACCCGACTATACGGCTGGCTGTTACAATCCCGTTTATTTTGTTACTTTTGTTTTGCATCTGACTCGTACGACGTTTTTTTTTTAAAGTTATACATTTTGCATTTATGACGATTGCATAATTAAAAAGATTGAACACAAACAAATTGCATACCGGTTTATGTACCACGATGTTTGGAGATATTTAGTCTTTAATAAGTTAGGGGTTTTGCGTTAACACTAGCGCTTCTCAATTCAATCAGCTATGTGCGAGTAAAATCACTGGTTATTCCTTTGATACATATCAGTGAAGTAGGAGTAGATTGAAAATTTGAGAAAAGTGGGGGGTGGGGGTTCTTAAAGTGACAAGCAAAAAAAGAACTTTAATCTATATTTTCTATCATAATAGTCTAGAAATTTATTTTGTCTCGTTTTAAAGTTTTTGATCCACTTGTTTTGGAAATTAATCTTTTTTTTTGGAGGGGGGTTAATTTCATGCTCATTACAGTAATGTGATGTTCGAGTAGACCCAAGTATTGCTCATTACAGTAATGTGATGTTCGAGTAGATCCAAGTATTGTTCACCGACACAATATTTTTTCATTATCCATCCCTGTATCCAATATGGGTGGTAGTTTATTTGACGTTGAGACTTATGCTGCGTTCACACGTAATTCGAATTCGATTCGCATTAACTAATTCGAATTAGTTTAATTCGCATTCGAAACGTTTTACGTCCAAACGTAAATTCTAATTCGAATTGCACTGCGCGTCAAATTCTCTTTACTGTCCGAACGATGTTAACTTTTAATTCGTATTAACAAAAACGCATTTCTAATGCGAACTGGATAATGCGATTTAGCCAATTCGAATCAATTCGAATTAAAAAAGAAGAGTGTGTGAACGCGATTAGCGAATTCGATTCGCATTCGATTCGAATTCAATTCGAATTAAATGTACGTGTGAACGAGGCATTATTTTGTGCTATCGCAATTCGACTTAAGCAAATTCCTCGAACTTGAACATGAAGAGAAAAAGGGAAATTCTCCGTATAGTTCGATTTAGACGATTTAGACGATTTAAAAGATTTAAGCATAAGGTTCATCATAACCTTTTCGCAAATATGGCCGTATTTACACTACAAATTTCGCTCTGAGTACAGACAAACCTGTGCATCTGGAAAAGTTTTAGAGCATGGCTGGACCTAGATAAATAAAATTTTAAAGTTTAAATGCATTTTAAGTTTCAGAATATTAAAAACTTAACTAGATTTTGCTATTCATTTTTTTCGCACCTGCAGAAGGTACCAAAATAAACTAAGTTTGGAAAGAAGTTTGAGAAGCTCCTCTCTTATTAAAAATGTTGTGAGTTGTATTGATTTAAATGGACAATGAATGGACAAAAGACATCTGCCAACAATAGGTGATTTAAACTGTGTAACTGAGTGGACCGTATCAAATGAAACTCATGTGTTTGTTTATTTTGCTATCTTCTGCAGACTGGAAAAAAATGCACATCAAAATCCAAGTAAGTTTTTAAATTCCTGAAACATAGACTTCATATAACTTTTATATATCTAGGTCCTGCCATGCCTTAAAACTTTCCTAGATGCATCAGTTTGTCTGTACTCATAGTAGATTTCGTGGTGTAAAAACGGCCATATTTTTCAATTCCTTTAGATGACCCTTAACTGCTAATCAAACCCACGAGAGGTTTGTACATGGAATAAAATTGAGAATGGAAATGGGGAATATGTCAAAGAGACAACAACCCGACCAAAGAGCAAAAGCAAAAAGTTTAGTGTGACGTCCATTTTCAATGAACTAGTACACAATTTTATTTAGGGGCCAGCTGAGGACCACCTCCGGGTGCGGTATTTTCTCGCAGCGTTGAAGACCCATTGGTGGCCTTCGGCTGTTGTCTGCTCTTTGGTCGGTTTGTTGTCTCTTTGACATATTCCCCATTTCCATTCTCAACTTTATATACTATATAATAATATATCAGTGACCGCTGTGGATAGTAAACTTGGAATTGATAGTAAATAGCAAATACAAGTTATTTTTAGTATATTTATGTTCATATTATACAGTAAAACGCGAAAATAATTGAAATTAATGGAAAACAAAAAAATAACGGATTTTGGAAAAAACCCGGGGGAGGGCTAAAGAAAATTGTCCTGTCTCCAAGTACCTATGACTGATCCATGAAATAAAGCCCAAGTCAAGTGAACCTTGTCTGAAGGACATGTATACATTGCAATGATTCTTTATTCCAAAAATAGTTGTATATTACTCACAATAAGCTTTAGTAGTCTCAGTAATAAGTGAGAAAATCTTGTAAAGAAAAAAACTTAACATTTTTCAAGCAGTTCCTGACCCAAGAAAATGAGATAATTTTGTCGAGATGGCACTCTAAAAAATGCCCCACCTGTTTAACTGATCATTATGAATGTATTTTTTGTTGAAAGTCCCTTTAGACCAAAGTTTACATAATGATTCATGAAATAGTTTAATATGCAATTGCAAAAACAGCTAAAACGTAAAATTGCCATTTAGGGGTCATCACTCCTCTAAGAAATCGATCCGCAAATCCAGTTACGTTCACCTATTTTTAGATCTTATCTTTCTGATCATTTTTGTTGTTCACAGTATCTCAATACATTTGCATATACATGCACTATAGTTTTCAAGTTATTGGCCCAAACTTGTAAACATAGGTACTGCAAAATTGCATTTTAAGGGCAATAACTTCCATAAGTCATGTTGACTTTTTTTTTTTTTATCTTATTTGGAAATTTAAGTCAGTTTGCTTCCTTCAGTTTCCCTTATCTACTATAAGTTTAGAGAGAAAAAAAACCCACAAAAATAGGTATAAATCGTCAATTAAGGTTACACAACAGTCTAATTTTTTGAAACAGCAACTGTTTGTTTGAAATGTTGTATCTTTTTTATCTGTGGAGATATAATGACAACTGAGGAACTAATAGAAAGAAGAATCAAAGAGCAACTGTTTGGACACACTGTTACTCGTAAACACATAAGAAATATTTAAAAGATGCCATATTTGGAGCAAATTTACGTATTTTTGTAATTTCTTATTTTCGTAACAAGCACTTTCAGTTCTACCACAACCAAGATCAAAGTAGTTTTATTTTGTTTGAATAAGCACAGGGTACAATCTCTAGAACCATGTTTTTACTTTCAGTTTTCTATTATCAATCCTATAACGAAAAAATGGCTGGATCTATTTCGTGCCAATTAGAATACAATTTTTTTCTTCAAAATATGGTCTTTTGGAAATATGCAGGCAATGGTGGTTTTACCAAATCCTTTGAAAATGCCTCTTTACTAAAACTCCTTTTAATATGGTAGGTCATTTTGTCTTAATATCTTTTAAAAATAAGAAAGTTATTGGTATTTAAATGGGACCACCCTGAATTTCCTAAATTGATTTTCAGGGGCAAACTCTAAAACAGATTGTTTTAATTTTTTGAAAATTCCAAAATATATATAGATTGACCTACCCGGTACTGATATTTTTTTCTTTTTGTTAGTGTTCCTCTTATACTCTAGTTTTTGAGGTATAAGGCAAATACTGTGGTTTGATCCCAATGTTCTTTTTAACCTGTGTTGATTCAATAGGAACAAAATGAGGATTGTTTGTAGATGACCTGCCATATATCATTACTACCAAGCTTTGTGATTTAAGAGGAAAAGATTTTCATAAAATGTTCATGAGAGGATGACGGCATAAGCTCACACAGCTTTTAGGGCCAGGTGAGTTTAGAAACTAAAAGAGTCAGAAATGTCATCAAAGGTTGTAACTCCTAATTATTTTTTTATTTAGATATGAATAAGAGGAGATATGGAGATAAGAGTTAACTATCTTCCATAGGCCCACATGAAATACGATGAATATGAAATATAACAAAAAAAAAAATCAAAAAAAAATCAAGAAACACATATAATGAATCAGAGAGTATATGCCATATGACAAGCACTGAATTTGAGGCTACAGTAGTTTACAATGTTCAAATCTAAGAAGATAAAAATCAAGGTAAAAAAAACAAAACTGGACAGAATCACATGAACTTAAAATGGAACCTGCCATTTGAATCCACTCTCAGTCAAAATTTCGATATCAGGAATAGGACATACTCGATAAATTTACAGACCAAACGACCATTCTAGAATCTTAAGATCTAAGACTGCAAAAAAATGTTGCTAATGAGTTGAGACACAGATACATTCATGTGTCATTGTATTGGTCAACCAAATTACGATGGTGACCGTATAAATTTTGCAGATCTGATTTCAGTTGTTCAACCTAATTACTCTGTTGGAGCAGTTTTTGTGTAAGAAGCACACCCCTGTAAATGAAGTCTGTATAGTGTAAACATGCACAGACTCTACATATTAATGCAGATATGAAATCACTGTCCCATGGGGCAGACAGTATGTTACTGTTGAGAAATGGGAAGTTGACAATTGGGAAAGTTTAACATAGGTTCCAGTTTGAAGTCATCCATCTGTGTCAATGACGAGAAGATAAAGATATGAAGCAGTTTCCATGATACCCTTTATCCCAAGTTCACTGGTATATATGAGATGCAAGCAACCACAGAAATATGGGTTATTGAGTGACTCCATTAATATATCTGAAAGTGAAATTAATGAACTTTGCAAGATGATTTTTCTTTTTGTTGTTGAGTATGAATTCTACTTCATATGATTAATCAGTATAAATCAAAATTCTTAATTCTACTAGTAGATATTGGAAATTTTAAATTCTGGATCCTGATGAATTCCAATTTGTGGTGTAACATAAATATGTATAACTAATGAAGCACTTGCCTTATTGTACTGTGTGTGATCCAATGAATGTGAATTAATGAAGACAGTATAGTGACCTCTTAATATCTATTTTTACAAACGTGTGGTTTGGTTGCTGTATCACTGATGTTTTCCCTCAAATCTCTATTATTCATGTGTTTTAATTTCAAATATGGTTGATAAATGAAACCTTAAAATGCTGATATTTTAGACAATTTAATCTGCAAAAATACTCATGTTGATGTTTTTAATATCCAGAAAAAAAACAGAAGATATTTGCAGACTGAATATTTCCGCAGCTAGCGTATGCATACTTTGAAAAAATGATTTAGACTTAATCTATCAATGACATAACCGGAGATGTGTTAGATAAATACAGCAAAATATGATAATAGGCACCCAAGAATATGAACATTGAAACTAACTTGATAAAAAAAATTGAGAAATGACATTAAAGACACTAATTTAATCATGTGTTTGGTATACAGTACTCCCAGGCATGTAAGGATCCGTCAGATGCTGAAGACATAATCAGATCTGGTTTCCATGGATGCCACAAATGAGCTAAAGATTTAATAATATCTGATTGGTCAGAACAGTTCTTCTCGTGACCTTGATGATTAAATATTGGTTCAGTAAAACTGTATCCAAATTCATGGACTGGTGACTTTTGTGTATCATAAATGTACACATTTCCATCAAACCCTGCAAGCAAATATGAATGAGGAATTAAAATTGCTTTTAAGCCAACAGAATAAACTATATTTAAACAAAGGTAAATTATATGATAAGTTTATGGCAAAGGCATACACATTGTAACATTAAAAAATCCTCTCTGTTTTTCTATATTAACTTTGTTGTTTTGTTAAATTTCATTTGAACCCATTTTAGAAGTATGAAAAAACATTGTTACATTGAGGGAAAGTGATTTTTTAGGCATATCCTTTATCCTTTGCTGCAATCATTTACTATTTGCATATCAGTTAAACAGCTACACGCTGATATAGATTGATTGATTGATTGTTGGTGTTTAACGCCACCTTCAACTCTCTAGGCTATATACTGATAGTCAGATTTTGTTGGTAGAGGAAGCTGGAGTGCCTTTGAGACAACCAACAACCTTTAGCAGAGGTTTGAACTCTCAACCTCAGTGTTGATAGATAGGAATGAACTAGTATATGAACAATTCTATATAAAAAATGCCTCCCTTTTTCTCACATTTCTCTCATTTGTATCTATAAGATGTCATGAATATAACAGAATCCAAATATGTAATAATTTAATTACAATAACCGTGGAATTTTTGTTCCTTCTATCAGTCATCAAAGAAAACTACTGTACTTTAAATCTTTACACCTAGCTGGTGTCCTCATTGTTGTACATGTCTCCTTTATATATACCAGTACACTTCTTTGCCCCATACATAAAAAAAACTCAATAAAGATACCAGGTTTGCAATTTTGTCTTCCAGATGCACATTTTATCCACAAAAGATTAATCAGTGATTCTCAAATCAAAATAGTTAAAAGGCCAAATAAAAGGGCATTGATAACCAAAAGTTCCAAAAAGTTTTGCTATTTATTTACAGGAATAGTGGAGAAGGGCATATCAACTGGGAAATTTATGCTCTAATTCAATGAAGGGGTTTATTAAATATAAAATTATTTAAATATTTAAATACATGTAATAGGAAGTTTACAATGGGAAATTTACATGTAATTTCATTGGTGTTTTGTCCCTGTATGAATTGTTTACCTGACAAAGATACTTTTTGCTGTTGCTGTGGGGCAGCCTGAAAAATAATTTTAAACAATATAATTGAATATGTTTCATAAATTTACTTCTGATATAGTCTTACACCAAAGCACCAAAGGGGAATTTATAAGGCCACTATTTTGGCCCCTTGAATTCAAATATTAAAAAGTGTTAAAAGTCTACCAAATAAATTTACATTTAGTCTGTCAGGTATCAGTATTCAAAATATTTGAATTTTGTCTTGGATATTTTCTGTAGGACAAAGTCAAAGCTGCACAAACTGTCAAAATAGCCTCACTTTTAAGATCTTGTCATTGATATTTAAACATTAGCCAATAATTTTCCTGAAAAAGATATGTTGCTACAGTATTAATATGTCTTATTCAAAGATGTTAATAAGCGTAAAATATCTTTTTGGATACAGGCTTGTTTCATATCTCATTGAAAAAGAAAGATAAAATTTGCCAATATAATGTCTAAGATTAATTAGAGAAACAAATTGAAACACAGGATCTAGATGAATGCGATATTTCTTCACTCTTGACAGTTAAGCTTTAAATGCAAGCCTCGCTATCTATGTTTAATTAAGTACAAACCTTGATACTAATTTCTGTATCTTTTGTCTTAGACTGGTGTTGTGTATTTATCTCTTGTAAGATGCTGTCATTACCATTTCTAACATCTGATATGACAATAGATCCAGCAGAAGATAATCTATAAACTAGGTCAACTGTAATATCCATTGTCCAATAGGAGTCTGTGTCACAAGCTGGATATAAATTACTTTTTCTGTTATTGTCTGCTTTTGCCTGCTTTTCTCTGAAGTCAATGAGTCTGATTTCTCCTGATTTTTCACAACAACTTATCAATGTATTTTGATCCATGAATTTTATTTCACTGATTACTGATGTTTCCAAAAACTCTGAAAACAATTTTATAAATGTATACATATATAGCTTGTAAAATGGGATTATGGGACTAATAAAACAAAAATTCACACGTTGTTCTGCTAAGCATACCCCCACTCCTAATTGAAGTATCAAAAACAGGAAGAAAGGTGTTTGACAGATCCTAAAAGCGCACAAACTTTACAACTAATCGCTGTTGAGCTGCTGACCAAATATATAGTAATTCTGAGAAAAGTGACAATTGTTTTTTTAATTTCATTCAACATATTGAAAAATTCAAAGTATTGACCAATAGGAAGTATGTATCTGACAGATTCACGAGTGCTCGCTTGTTACAGCTCATCACTGCCAAGCTGATGACCAAATATGAAATCATTCTGAGAGAGTGTATCAAAAATATTTGATAGAAAAATCTATTTAACAAGTATAGAAGAAATCAGTCCTGTTAAGTTATGAGAAAGCTTTCACAGATTTGACATAACTATTCAAACATGTTAGGAATGGGGATGGGAATTTGTGAGCTCTGATCACACTTTTCAAACTTAAACTTGCTTTGAAACCATCTCATTTTACTGTGGATTCATTATTTTTTGTTGGATACCAATTTTCGTGGATTTCGTAGGTACAAGTGAACCACAAATTTAAATGTTCAATGAATTACAAATTTTCTACAGGTTTGCATGTAGACTTTGTCACAACCACGAAATCAAATATCCACAAAAATGAAAGTTGTCCTCAATCCATGAAATTAAATGAATCCACAGCAATTCAATCTTGTAAATCAAAATTTTAAAATAATTTTAGTACCTGTTTTATCACATATTACTTCATGTGTGTTCCCTTTTTCTACATCCAAACAACATAGATTGTTCAGACTAGAACCAAATACAATACAAGATGGATTATTTTCATTAACAGCTATCTTTGCCAAGCATCTAAAAAACAATTCAAAAATAATTTTTCAATTGCAAATTTTAACACAACCATTTTGCATATAATGCTTATTGACTATAATGGTATAAAATTTTGTCAAATTTAAAACAAGAATGTGTCCATAGTACATGGATGCCCCACTTGCACTATCATTTTCTATGTTCAGTGGACCGTGAAATTGGGATCAAAACTCTAATTTGGCATTAAAATTAGAAAGAGCATATCATAGGGAACATGTGTACTAAGTTTCAAGTTGATTGGACTTCAACTTCTTCAAAAACTACCTTGACCAAAAACTCTAACCTGAAGCAGGACAGACGGATGAACGGACGGACGCAGACCGAAAAACAGGTGGGGCATAATAAATATATTCCTATCTTAATTGAAACATCTAACACTATGACTGTGTTTGCAGTATTATTCCAATAATTTTGTACTTACTGTAAATTCAGAAATTTTTGCGATGTTTATATTATTGTGAAAATTTCATTTGGATAGTTTAACCAAAAACAATGCATTTAACTTTTGATAGCATCATATGTATGCACCATTTCCTGAAAAAGCAATAATAATCTGACATTTTTGTCCATTGTTTAACAATTGCAATAATAAACAAGCTTTTTCTCAATTTGCAAAAGTTTTAAGGTATTTTTTATCTACCAGTATAAGAAATTTAGGTTGGTTACTAATCCAGTCGCATTATTTGCATTAATATAAACCTCACACTAATTTCTGTACTTACAGTATCTGGAAAGTAAACAACAATTTTTATTATATATATAATTTTTTAGAATTCATATACATGATGTAAAGAGGAACAAACAATTTTGACAACTTATAATAAAGAAGGTTTATGACACAGGTTTGGGACATAGATACTTGCAATTGTCTGTTCAAAACCATGTATATGGTGTGTTTTGGGGTTGCTGTCTTATGTACATCTACTGCATGTCCCATTTATTTATATTTTATTCTGACATTCATGTCTGAGTCATTTTGAGATGTTTTTTGAAACTAGGTTGTAAATACATGTTTAAATAAAAACTTACTTTTTGTTACTTTTGTCTACATGTTGTGATTTAAAACTTTCAACAGGTTTAATAAGATCTACAATGAATATCAAAGCAAAGACATGCATTGATTTTTCAAAACATATTATAAAACTAAAGCTATATTACCTAATGTCATCAATAAACAATCATATTTCAGAAGTTATAAATATCCTTCTAAGTCACAACTAGAAATTATAAGAAGTATTCTGTTGAAGGAAATATCAAAGACAAAATTCACATTAACAGTCTAATGACTAAGTGCTGGGCCATAACCACCACAACCCAGCCAACTTACACTTATCTTCATTAGAAATCATATAAAGAATGACTTATACTTTGATATTTGATTTACAACTTCTGTTATCTACATAATGCTGATGAAGAACTTCATCAAAGAATAGGAAAACAATTTTCTTCTGAATAACATTTCATAGTTGTCAATTTTTAAATCCGCAAAGACCTTTCTCTGGGGCATGTTATGTAGCGTTGGACACCATGATTCATAACAAACCTTTCTAAATTTGCCCGTTTATAAATTTTGAAATTATAAAGAAACTTAAGGTTTCAACTCCCTCAGGCAAAGTTAGCCTTAGAAGAATTTGGCTATTATTTTAGGTCATTTTTGATTATACAATGTATAGCTCTTCAACTGTTATGGTTTTATACATCCTTGACTTTCAAATATTCGGCTATGAGCGTTCCAGATGAAGGAAAATCCAGAAAAGAGCTTTGGACGCATTAAATCTATAACGTGTTGTTTTCATATTTTCTATAAACAAACAATATTTCTTAAAAAAAAAAAACTTATTTGTTAAATTTTACAGGACTACATTCAATAACATAATGTTCAAAGTATAAAAATAGAGATTAGGCATGTGACATCTTTTATATCAATTTTCTGTCTATTCCTAAATTTTACATATAGATATAAGAAGATGTGGTCTGAGTGCCAATGAGACAACTCTCCATCCAATACATACCAGTTCCATTTGAGCCAATCTCCCATACCTGTATCCCTGTATTTGTTTCATCACTGGTGCACACCTGTCTGTGAAGATAATGCAAATATCAAGGATTTGTATAGTGAGACTCACTATACAAATCCTTGCAAATATGAATGAATGAAGCTTATATCTTCTCAGAAAATTTAATTTAATGTAAATCACACATTTTTCTTCATGTTAAGTTTATGATTATAATTGCTTACCTGGGTATTTATAAAAAAAAACTCTGGATATATATATATATACATATATGAAAGCATATATAAATGTCATACAAGTTCAGTGTCTAGATCACTGTTATATTAGTCCATACAAATCAAAATCCTTCCAATGTGAAACCTAAAAGGTAAGCAGTTTCAGCTCCATGGATTAAAAGAGCACAAACATCTTAAATTTACAATGACAATAAAAATGTAAGCACCACCAGTAAATTGTTTTACATGTAATACTATAGATTAACATCAAGGTCTAGAAATACTCTGTGAAGGCCATGGAAATGAAACATAGCACTGAGAAACATTTTCATTGAGATAGCACTAATATAAATGGAAGAGTTCTGTAATTTTGTTGTTGTATATAATATGACGCCACCTTGATTGAGGAATGTGTTTTATACAACATATTTTGCAAGTACTGAATCCACCATTCTTCTGGCGAAAATCTCTGTCTTTCAGCAAACCCTGAAAATGAAGTTAAAATAAAACTAATTAGGTAAGCTAAATATTGAATAGATTTAACCTCTGATACCATAGAGTTCATAAATTACACAATTTACTTAAACTAATGCTCATTTTTTTAAATTAAAAAAATATTCTTTATTTTAGTTTTCACTATGCTGTTGATGACTCTTGATGAGTGAGGTATAAATCAAATTTAGTATGATTTATGTGTCTTTTAATGCCTTTCAAGCTTTAGGTAAGATCTTCACCTGAAGAAGCTTGTATGTTATTTCATTCTAATAAGGAGACATATAGCTTAGTCATATCAAGTTAACTAAGGTAAATAGGTGTATTTGGTATTCTCAAATTTTGCCTTTCAAGTATACACAGTTAGGGGCAGTTCAAAGGTTCAGTAATATAATATTTGTGTATTTTGCCTTCAAAACTTTTGGCCATTAGGGATTATGTGTACCAAATGAGGCTGTTAGAAAAACATGCAAAGTATAAATTAAATTAAGAATGATCAATGTGTACTTAACCTTCCAATTTCTTGTCATTGAGAGTATCAAATATGGTGATTTGAAAAAGTGGTGTTATGCTCATTGTTGAAGACTTCAATGATCTGTAGTTATTAACATCCATGTCCTAGTGTAGATTGATTTTGGCAGATTCAAATAATTTACTTTATATTTTTCATGATAAAAAAAAAATGTTGTCCTAACAAATTAATTTTGTTTCAGATGGAACACTTACCTAAAATAGATGTGAAATGTATGAAACACAGGGGCGGATCCAGCCATTTTTAAAAGGGGGGTTCCCAACCCAGGAGAAAGGGGGGGTTCCAACCATATGTCCCCATTCAAATGCATTGATCATCCAAAAAAAAGGGGGTTCCAACCCACGGAACCACCCCCCAGGATCCGCCACTGAAACAGTACTCATCTAGTTCAATACTCACAGCACTCTCTAAATCATCAGATAAAAGCTTATCAGGTACAGATAACTCTAATATCTCATTTCTAACATCGCTTGATGTTGCAACTACTAAATCTGCAAGAGAATTCTTTCAAATCAATATTCTATAATAGACATTGTATAGAAGATGTACAGTAGTTGTACAGTAGGCTGAATGTGTACATCTAGATGCAATTTGTTTATCAATTGTGAAGTTGTGCTGATGTATCTTTGATATATAACTTTCATGTCCTTTTATAAAACCAGAGAAATCCTGTTCCAAGTCCTTCATCAGTGCCTGTGCTGGTCACTGACTTTATATAAATTTATTTCTTATTTTAAGGAATTCAATGTTAATTTCAGATCGTTGGTTGACACCATTGAATCTATAAATTTACAACCAGTCTAAATTTTAAAAAAGAAAAGAGCTTGTCTTTTGGTTTGAGTGCCAGTCTGACATTAAATGGTAACCTCTAAAGGTCTTCATTTTGGAAACATTTGGTTAAGTTGCTGACAGTTTTTAGAAGGAGAGAACTGCAAAAAAATCAAAGCCAAATAAGAATTTGTCATATAACGTGAGCACTTGTCCATTGTTGAAGCTAATTTGGTAACTACTAGATATCTATTTCGTTTGATTTGTTGGGTGTACTATCTCATTAATATTTACCATGTAGGTTCTCCTTTAGTCATATAAAAAAAACTGCAGACTATACATTAAGGGTTTTTCTCATTGTTGAAGGGAGTACGGTTGCATATAATTGCTTACATCCACTTTATTCGAACTTTGGTGGATAGTTGTCTCTTTGGCAATCATACCGCATCTCCTTATTTTTATATACATCATCCAAAAATCATGCTAGCTGTTAAATACAACATTCTAATTCCATGATGATACTATTGAAATGACATGCTGACAGACAAAAATCACATCATACCACTGTCTACATTATTTCATGTACTGTTATAAAATCTTTTTTTGGCACACTTAAAAGAGAATTTACTATATATAACTAACTTTTATCATCAATCCAGTCCATACATGTTACAGGGTGTTGTAAATCATACATGAACAGGTTTCTGTAGCTGTAAAATATAAAATTTTCTACAGATATTAATTAGCTTTAACAGAGGCACTAATTAGTATATTAGTACTTATTAAATATGTTTAGAACACCATACAATTAGTATTACCATAATTTATTTCATTATAATTCTACATTGTACTTATTCAAATTACATTCTAATACTGTTACTATCAGATAAACTATATTGTCTGTGTTTTTCCTTGGTTCTTTATGATTTTGTCCATTATGGAATTCAGTGTTGAATCTTAAGCTTTGGTAACCTGTTGAATTCTTCCCAAATCATCAACATTGGACAATTTCTAACTTGACACATGGTGTAAACTGTTTGTTGACTCTATTATGTATCTTTTTTTTTTAGGTATATCATCTTTGGGTTACTGTTTCATTCACATTTACTCAACATCTCCTCATATTCTTTTTGCAATTCTAGTTGAGCGTAATAAGAGAGAAATACTTTTCATACCCACATAAAATCTGTCTATTGTATATCAATTATGCTGCGAGAAGTTGCTACAGGAATAAAGCGTAGCGTATATTGAAAACTGTTATACATCATGTACATGGCTATTAATTAAACTATATTTATGATATGTAAGCATTAAAGCATAATGTATACTAAGGAAGCGTGCAAGCAGTTCTATATAGCTGTGCAATCGCACTGTCCCGAGTCTAGACTATTATCAATGAAAAAGGCAAAGGCAGGCCTTCCAATTCTTGTTTTTGAACTATGGAATCATGGATAGAAATATTATCATAAAACAGATAGCTGTTAAAAAGTCGCCCTCAGTTTTTTATTAATTATCATTAACTTCAAAATGAATACAGCCAACAAAGTTTTGAAATATATATATATAATAAAATGCTACGCTGGGCGCAGCTTGATACGACCGCAGAGGTCGAACCCTGAACAGTTAGGGCAAGTATGGACACAACATTCAAGCTTGATACAGCACTGAATTTGGATTGTAATTAAATATTTGACACAGCATAGGTTTCTGACACAGAATGAATGTGGTCTAAGAACATAATTTTTTTTAATTTACCTATTCAAACCATATCATTATTATTTGCTTTTATATATAAATCAGAAATAACCAATTTAAAATGGAAAATTTTAAAGAAAAAAAAGGAAAAAGAAATCCCCCCTCAAATTTTTTGAACCCCCTTATGATTCATCACCCCCAAACTCAATTCCAGCCTTCCCTTTGTGGTATGGTACCTTGCAGTACAATTTCAGAGAAATCCATACACTTGAACACAAGTTATTGTCTGGAAACTAGAAAAATGCTTGTTTTTTTGGCCCCAAATTCCTAAACATTTAGGGCAAATACCACCAAACTCAAACCCAGCTTTCCCTTGGTGATATGGAACCTTGTAGTACAATTTCATAAAGATCCATACACTTACACACAAGTTATTGTCCTGAAACTAGAAAAATGCTTGTTTTTTGCCCCTTTTTGGCCCCTAATTCCTAATACTGTGAGGCAATTACCCCCAAAATCAATCCCAGCCTTCCCTTTGTGGTATGGTACCTTGCAGTACAATTTCAGAGAAATCCATACACTTGGAACACAAGTTATTGTCTGGAAACTAGAAAAATGCTTATTTTTGGCCCCTTTTTGGGCCCTTATTCCTAAACGTTTTGAGCAATTACCCCCAAACTCAATTCCAGCTTTTTCTTTGTGATATGGAACCTTGTAGTACAATTTCAGAAAGATCCATACACTTACACACAAGTTATTGTCATGAAACTAGAAAAATGTTTATTTTTTGCCCCTTTTTTGGCCCCTAATTCCTAAAATTTTGAGGCAATTGCCCCCAAAATCAATCCCAGCATTCCCTTTGTGATATGGAACCTTGTGGAACAATGTCAGAGAGATCCATAAACTAACACACAAGTAATGTCTTGAAGTTACAAAAATGCTTATTTTTGGCGCCTAATTCCTTAACTGTTGGTACCATAACCCCCAAAATCAATCCCAACCTTCCTTTTATGGTATTGAACCTTATGGTAAAATTTCATAGAGATCCATTCACTTAAACTAAAGATAGAGTGCGAAAACCAATGTGTCTTCGGACGACGACGACTACGATGACGCCTGCAACGTCATACCATTTTTTGGGGTCGTATAAAAAACAGCCATTTTTAAAGTATGGGGCATTCTTTACTCCAGTCTGTCCTTCATGTATGTGAGTCACATTCCCAGTACTTCTTTAGTTGTTTTATAGGTCTTTTTACATATTGGTACTCACGACTTGCCTTACGTGGGAGTTATGTCCAGGACAATACAAATTATCATTAATACCTTTTTTGTTCCTCAAGGTAGGTTGACCAGCATGAAGGATGAAGTATTTGGACTTCCATTGGAAAATACGGGCAGAATGGATAGGGGCAGAAAAATTGCCTTGCCCTTGAACAGACCACCTATGAATCCATCAGAGTTGTTGCAAGGATAATTTAAGGTGAAGAGAAAGTGGCATCAGATTTAACGTCCTTTCCTCAACCTGTCATGGCTAAATTTTTAATTTTTGCAAAGCTAAAGGGAGGCCCCATGGCTACTTCAGCAAGGGTTTTACTGTTGGAACGAGTTGTTTCTCGAGATGACCATATTTCTAAACTTGGATGCTTACATGTAAGTGGACCCTATCCAATAGTTGCCTTTAACTACTGAACTATTCTTTATATTGTAACCCTTAAGAAGTAAAAAAGCTGTAATTTTTAATATACAAATTGTAATGGCAGAAAAGCTTTCAATAGTCTTCTGTTCTATTGATTTCTCCATGAGATGAGAATATGCAGTTTTTCTGTTATTTCAAGCTGCCAATGGCATGACTTGATTCATTTGTGTACCTTCGTGATATATGAGGAATAAGATGCTGTTTGAATTTATTTCCCTATATATGTGACAGGATTGCTTCCCTTGAGAAGTAAATACTTAGACATAATAGGTTGACTGGTACTGACTGGGGGATAAGGACAAGGATATTGACTATTTCTAAAACACTGATCACATGCTGTTTTTGTAACACATACAAGGTTACCAAAAGAGAGGGGAAGAAACACAAGGGATTACCAAAAGTAAGGTTTAAATCTGTAGGCACAGACTTTATTATAGTCCTCAAGATTATAAACATCAAAAAGCTAGTAACTGGTGTGAAGATTTTGATGTGAAATTTAATGAATACAAGCTCTAAGACTAGTTCCATTTACTTAAGAATCTTTAAAGGACTTTTAAGTAACTTATTGAGTCAGCTACTGCCCAGTTTACACATCAATAACCTCTAGAAAAATTGTGTTTCAACCATTAATTCTCAACACAAACATTTGTTATTTTTTTTTTCAAATTTCAATTTTCTTGGAACCCCAGGATCCCATGCAAAGGTATCTGACATGAAAAGATGTAAGTGAAATTAATATAGAGTTTACATAGCTTACGAATGCATTTATTTACTTTCATGTATTGTAATAGTACCCATGATGATGAAGATGTAAGTGCATGTAGACAGTTGTAGTGATCATCAACTTACCTAAAGATACCAAAAACAGTTGCTTGATATTTAATTTAGGTACCATTACGTTTTTGAGATTGAGGGTTAACCTGGGTACCTGAAACAACTTTAATTTCAATACGTCCTTTCCTAGCTTAAAACGTAACCAGGACTACAATGACCCGTTCAGCAGAATTTGTAGATATGCAAATCATATAAAAATTAAAACCACTCTGAATTTGGATTGTGATTGAATATTTGACACAGCATAGGTTTGTGACACAAAATGAATGTGGTCAAAGAACTGAAAAATATGAAATTGGACATTTACCTATTATGGTCCTGGCAATATCCAAAATCTAAGTACAGAATCTTAGAATCAGCATATCAAGGAACCCAAAGAATTCAATTTTTGATGAAATCAAACAAAAGTTTAATTTAGGACCCTTTGGACCTCAATGTGGACCAATTTGATAAAGGAGCCCAAAATCTAAAATCTCTAAATGCATGGTTAGATTCAGCATTTCAAAGAACCCCATAAATTCAATTTTTGTTGAAATCAAACAAAGTTTAATTTTGGACCCTGATTTGGACCAACTTGAAAACTGGGCCAAAAAATCCAAAATTTAAATACAGGTTTAGATTCAGAATTTGAAAGAACCCTTTATATATTCAATTTATGTTGAAATCAAACACAGTTTAATTTTGGACCCCGATTTGGACCAGTTTTATAGGAAGAATAAAATTAGATTATTATCTAATGAAAATGATATTTGCAAATCTGGACCCCCAAACAGGATCAAGTAAAAATTAAACATTAACACACACAACAAAAAGAAAATACCACATAACAACTGTGACATCTACCTTCAAAACACACAACTTTAAAAAAATTAGTTATAAAGAAATTTTTGACAACTCCTGACTAAAATCAAATGAACAGACACAATCATTGATAGACTTATAATTTACACCATTTCTGTTCAAAGGGAAATAACTCAAAATAAAAACAAGACCAAATAACATAGAAATTACTTATTAATTACACCATTTCTGTTGAAAGGGAAATAACTCAAAATCATATAATAAGAATCACTTTTGCTACTGAAAGGTCTACAACTCAACAACGAGAACAGCTAAAATCGTGAAAATTAAACTTGACCTTCATTTAGTCACAGGAAACAACATATCTAAATTTGAAAAGATTTCGTCAAAGCATTTTCATGTTAATGAACGGACACTGTATATATATGTTAAGTATAATTTTTTACAGTAACTCTAAAAGTTTCAGTCCATGTACATAGCAAACAAATTCTGGGATGTTTTACTCTCTTACTTAGAAGCATAATCCCTTATCTGGAAGGAGATTGAAGAATAGAACAAAACCCCAGTTTTTTTTTCATTATTGTGCAGCCTTAGTTTATCAGCATTGTGCTTTGATAATACATGTATTTAAAGTTTTGGTATTTAGCTGAATTTTGTCTGCAAATGACCTTAGATCTGCTCTCAAAAACCTTCTGACATCTAGCAACAACCACTATTTAATTATGACATCAATTTTTTTATATTGTGATGTCAAATTTTACAGGAACTTGTGATTTTAAGTAATGGCGGTCAAATTTGCATACAAGTGTAAATACGTCTATTTATTTCATAAATTAAGGTTAACATGTTGTAACAGCTTTTTTTTATAACTTTATGAGACCCAAACAATATATTAGTATATGATGCAGTCCGGTAAATCCGCCCGAATAAGGCTTTGATCATATGTATTTCTGCTTAATTATATACTAATTGTATCAAATTTAACATAAATCGATTCACTAGCAAATCAATTTTGAGTAGTTTATCTCATTTCCCAAAAATTATCTGAAATAAATTTTAAAATCAACAAAACAAGTAAGTCATCTGTGTTTTTATCGGAAATGTGTTTATAGCTTGCTGTTTGGTGTGAGCCAAGGCTCTGTGTTGAAGGCCGTACTTTGACCTATAATTGTTTACTTTTTACACATTGTGACTTGGATGGAGAGTTGTCTCATTGGCACTCATACCACATCTTCTTATTTCTATTTTCAGTAAATCCGTCCATGGGCAGTAAATATGTATGGAGGGCCAGTTGATCACATATTTTTGAAAGGAAAATAGGATCTATTAATAGACCACTTATAAAGGGATTCCAGACAATAAAAAAAAAAAAAAATTCAAGGCAGAAACGAGTTTTGTAAGCAATAATAGATTATCGTTAGCTTTAGGAACTGTATTAGAGTGAGTGACCAATATTTCGCCGCATAATTCGTGTATTCCCACTTACATACGACCTACATTCGAATATTTGGAACTTTTAATGTAGGTTTCAGAAATTTAACTATATGAAAAAAATGTTTGATAAAGGAATCATCTTCAAAACATTGGTTAAATGTTCTAAAAACAAACGCAACTCAAGAGGATATCAAGTTGTTCGTGTACCATGGGGGACACATTTTCGCCGCAATGTATGATATGACCATCCTCATTATCCTGATATATTATAAAAACAAATGTTTGCAATAATATGAATTAGCTTGAGAGATCATTCCTACACGATTTTTCTCACAAATATTTACGTTAAGACTGTGCATGATTACCATATAAATCTTACATAATTGCCAAAATCGTTTAAAAACACCTGCGTATTTCTTTATATGTGCGAATAACCTTGGAAATAGGGTAAAGAGGAATATCAACAATTTGAACCTTAAAAAAAGCCTTTACCATCTTTTTAGGCAAGTATTGGGTAAAGGCACATAAATTTGAAAGAAGAAATAACAAAACGGCGAAAAATGTGTCCAAGGCGAATATGCGCCACCCACTCTATATATATCACTAGATATTTTCGTAATAAAGGATTTTTCTTTAACATTTGACATGCAGTAATCATAAGTACAGTTCCTATGAATAAAATAGCAGACGAAATATTCACGGAAGTGACAATTACGGAAGTAAATGGGAGTAGGTGGGTTTACCAGACGACGGAATTACCTGACACTACTGTACTAAACTAACCCTTACCCTTACACTGACCCTGTTAAGAATAATGCACAAACTAAACATCCATGATACTGCTCAGAGTACATTTTTGTAAAACATACTTGTTGATTTTAGGCAGAATCTATACAAGATAAACATCTTGCTTATTTTTTGCCTTGAGGTGTCTGAATCGACCACTTAAAGACAATAAACCATCCATAAAACTTACCTTAACCTTAAACAAACCCTAACCTAACAGTAACTCTAACCATAAACAGATAACTATACCCTAACCCTAGACGAGGATTTATGTATACACCTTATCGCTATTTGTCCGCCATTACTGGACATCACACAAGTTCCCGTAAAATTTTGACGTCATAATAGAAAATATCTGACGCCACAATGGAAAAGTGATTGTTGTGTGACGTCAAAAGTTCGAGCGGGACAGATTCTCGGGTCAAGCGGGAATAGCGATAAGGTGTATTATAAATCCTTGCCCTAAACTGGGACATAAATTCATAATCATGATAATAATCTTGAGGCCAAAAACTTTTCAAAATCAGCGACACATACTTTTTGACGGAGTCAAAAAACCAATCATCATCATCTGAAGCCATGTAGATTTGATGAAAGTTAGTCACAAACTAACATGCATGTTGAAGACAGCAGTTTTTGGTACAAAAACAAATATTTTGAAGAGCGTCCGACTGATCACGATTTTCCCCAAATACCCGTTGCAGTCCCCTGTCCTTACTACTCCCGTTAAAACGAACGTATGTCTTGACATAGTCTGCATGCTGAGAAATCACTTGTTGCCCCTCGCATACATCGATCAACTGATACCACATGAACATAGTAGAAAAGTAAGTATGTTGCATCTATAGGCTTGATGACTGACATGTTTGAAACGTTTACAAATTTGGGGCTTCACCGCCGCTTGTTGAATTTTGAGATTCTCTGCCACTTTCAAAATGTTTTGATTTGTTTATCAACTGCATGACTTGACCTACTTTATTTAAAACGTTGATTCCTGTCTCTTAAAACTTAGTTAGTTTTAAATAATTTGTCAGTGGGATTTTCAATACTGAAGTAGAACTGCAGATATTTCAGTAATTTTAACATGTTTATATTTCAGTAATTTTAACATGTTAAATCATTGTTTAAGCTCAACTTTACTTTATAAAATAGACTTACTTACATATTTTGGTATTTAAGATACAAATGTTGCTGAAATTTGTCTCAAATGCCCCTAGATCTGTCTCAGAATAATCTAATGTCATGCAACAATCACTTTTTAGCTATATGACATAATTTCTTTTTAAATTGTGATGCACTATTTTGCAGGAACTTGTGTGTTTTTTAGTAAAAGCCGACAAAGGAGTAGGTTCGATAAGGCCCTAAAATGGCCCCTATTTCTAGCGACAATTTCAAATTAGGATTTATTGACCAATATCACAATGAATCATAGTTGAATACAATAAACGTATTTACACTTTCGGTATTTAGCTATATTTTGCCTCCGAATGACCTTAGATCTACTCCGAATCACCTTTTGACGTCAGGCAACAATCACTTTTTAATTGTGACGTCAAATGTTTTGAATTATGATGTCAAAGTTTACGGGAACCTGTGTGATTTTACGTAATGGCGGACAAATTTGCATACAAGTGTAAATACGTCTATGACTAGATAGAAAATAAAAATGTATGTCATTTTGTTGAAAACTTAGTAAGTACGTACTTGCATTCGATTCATGACATCACAAATAGCACTCATTTTGACAATGTTTTATTTTCCTCGAAAATTCAATGAAAACCGCTAAATTTTCATTCATTTTTTGGATTTCATATAATGTTTGTTATAACATTTTACATATCTGACTTGAATATTTAGTTTGTCGACGCCTGCACTCTATGTTTCCTATACAATTTTGTCAAATTTGGCAAAAAATCTCTATTTTAGGCCTATTTGGGATGTAAAAATCAAGGCTTTAATATAAAACTTGGACAAAAAAGTTCTATTTAACTTTCTCACTTTACATCAACTTAAAACATTTTTTATCTTGAAGCATTGAACTTGATAATCGGGGCTAAATATGGCCCATACTGAACTTTCTCCTTTGCATACAAGAGAAAATTCATGTACGCAAAGTCTAATGTTAGTCAAAAGGAAAAATTATGTCATTTACATGTATTCTAAAGTCCTCTTTAGTTGTCAAATAGAACTTAAGCATCTACTCTAATAGATGGATTTTTACAAATCTTTTTCATTCTGCCATCTCTTGTACAAATGTACTTGATCCATTTTAGGACTGCAAACATCACACACATTTAATAGGTGTTTCCCCAATTCAGCTTGTGATATTTTATCACAAATTTTCCCTAAGTTTTTAACAGTATTCATTGTTAATGATAAAAAGCCAGTTTAGGTTCTGGTTCCTTGTGTAAATGGACATTATTAAAGAAGAAAATCTTTCAAATGCATATCCAACCTCCTTTTTTTGTTTATAGTATATAGAGGTAAACAGTTTTATAGACAGAATGTAGTTAAATGATAGAATTTGAAAATAAACAGGAGATAATAATCTTTGCATTTAGAAATTAAAAAAAATATATTGTTCAACCTTAATTTCTTCTTTCAAGAAAATAATATTACAGTAAAATCTATTATGAAATTAACTTATCTGAGTTATCTCCCCTTATCAATAAAGTTCTGTAAAATTAATAAATTAAAGTTAGTAAGTGTTAGAAAAGATTATTTTATTAATTAGATAAAATAATATTAATGTCTCCATTTTAAAAGAAATTTAATGGAACTTAAAATTGCATATTACATGTGCAGTTTTTCTCATTTCAGTAGTTTGAAGTCTGACATGTGGATGAAGGCTGCATTATACAGTCTTCACGCTTAACCACAAGTCCTACGGCATTGGCTTGTAAAATTGCTTTCTGACTTGTAAAATTCTTCTCTACAAGCCAACAGAATCCAACTAAAATTTTGAAAAAATTGAGCTTTGGGCTTGTGGACTTAAAAGTTAACCGTGAAGGCTGATTATATATCCCCATACATACTTAAAATGTTATTAAGCAATTGTAAGAATTAAGTCTGTGTAAGTTACATATTATCAATATAAATGTATGACGTTACCTTTATTTACGTATTCTGTGGAACTGTCCGTACTCCGTAAATAAAGATAGCAAAATAATTCATGTGAACATAACCTACTGGTATACAATTTTGCAAAAATCAGTATTTAAAAATTTACTAAAGAGACCTCAGTCTAGGAAAATGTTACTATTTATGGGGTCATACCTCTCATAAGGCAACAGAGACTAATTTCCAACATGTTTTCTCATCCAAAGACATTTAAAAACACATTTTAAATGCCCCTTCTAACAAGAAAGAACTGTTAACAGACTTTATAAGGGATCAAAGCCATTATAGATTTTATTTATGTTTGTTGTAAGTAAGTTGAAAAAAATGTTGTACATGTATGTTATAAATGTTAACTGATGACTAAGGCACACTTTCCCTCCAATGGAGAATTTTTGTGATTACATTACAGGATTACATCTGAATAATTATATGTAGTTACATGTACTTATTAACGGTACATATGTGGTTTGACCCAGATATATCTATATACTTTATTCCCTAAAAACTGAGTACAAGTATATACTCAAGCTAAGTGCATATGTGTTTGTTTTTTGTTGAAAAAGAATTGTTAATGGATGAAAGGATATATCAGTAAGATGATTTATTGGTGGCTGTTTGAGTCCAGCAATGTCAGAAAGACAACAGCTCATGCAGTGACTTAAAAAATCAAAAGACCAATTTTATTTTTTCCATTCTTTTTTCCAGGTAAGCTTCATTTAATTTGTTACGTTTATATTTCATGTGAGCACTTAAGTTGCAAAGAATAATTCCAGATGAGTGTGTTACAGTTCAGAAGAATATTGTTACAATCTTTAAATATTGTGCACAAGTTGTAATAGATGCTTTCTTGTTATTTTTTCATTAAATCTCTACTTTGTTGGCTTATCATTTGAAATGAATAGGTCTTTTCATTACAGAATTTTATATGTGAAGAAGCAACCATTGATTGAAGTATTGGCTGATATTATTTATGTTTATAACACCCACACAGAAGTGTTTTTAAATTTCCTCAAGTTGAAGTATGTTTTGTAGATTAAAGACAAAGTGTGTTGAGTGTTTAAGAAATTTTTGTCTGATAACACATTTATATCACTGATGGATTAGTGTTTTTATCATCAGAAAAATAGTTTTATTATAGAGATCATTGATTTTTATAAACAGGTAACTCATATTTAAACCTCAAACTATCTCTTATATACATGTAAGTTAAAATTTATGTAAGCAAAAACGAAAGTTGTGAAATTACAAGTTTCCTTTATTCATAAAAAAAAACCCATGGTCATGATGGTATTTGTTACAATATTGTATGTTATTTTTGATATTTGTTTCATCTTCATAAATAGATGAACATGTGTTTTACAGGTTTACTTAATTGTTCTCTGCACATTATTTTTGAAATAAAAATGTTTGCATCTTATGAGGAATTTTAGATACTGCAGCTGTAAATGTTATCAAAGCACATACTCGTAATCAGAGCTTGTGTGAAGTACTTTTACATGATTTATAACTTTTGTAGTAGTTCATAAGACATTATATATTAAGTGATAGGAGGAAGTATTTGCAAGGTCAATGGATACTGGTACTTCTAAAAAAAATTTGCATAACACTTTGATGAGATTTGAAAAAAAACATTTTTGAAAATTCAGTATATTGTATGTGATCTGATGAAAATTTTACACATATATTGTATATACTTAAAGCCATATACACACACTTTTATTTGCTGCCTCTGGAAATTGTCTTAAGGAGTAAGTGGTAATATTGAAATAAGGCCAAAATTTGGTGTCAGATTTCATGGAAATTTAAAAGCTACCATAAATGAACTTAAATTTGCCCTTACAATTATTGGTATTGTAAAAGGTGTTAAGAAAATTTTTCATTTTGACAAGTTAACTTGGCAACAACATGACTTCAAAATTTGTATGTTTTGTAAAATTTCTTGATTTTCTTTGTTTTGTATCAACTTTTGAGAGTATTTTGGATTGGAAAAGTATATATGCACACCCAAGAAATAACTTTGTAATTGGTGAGATTATGTAAATAGCTAAAAGAGAGCTTCTCTAAATCTATTTTGTTGTTTCTTGACTGTGTTACACAGTGAATTTGATTTTTCCATGGGAATAGAATGGATGAAGATGGCTGTCCAGTGGCAAATTAAATGTGTATTCAGGACAAGCTTAAGAATATGATAGTGTGATATGAATTTAAACCCTGTTTTTAACTAGACAGACACCCTAAACTGGATTTTCAATGTGCTAGTTGACAAGAAAACAGTCTGCAGGAGGACATTTCACCTTACCCTGACACATTATTCTGACTCCGAGTCAACCAGACTTTGGCTTTTCCTTTAATAAAAATGCTGCATGTTTAGCAGACTAGCAGTAAATTCCTATTTTCGAGTCTTTGGTTTGACACGGCCTGGGTTCTAACCAAGGACTTCCTGCATTCTAGGCGAACATGCTACCACAAGACGAGCAAGGCAGTTTATGGAAATAGAGATTGTTTCTTTATTTTCATGAAGTAAACATATGTCTGCTCTTTCACTGGTCGGGTTGTTGTCTCTTTGACATATTCCCCATTTCCATTCTCAATTTTATATATTATAAAGCAAGCATGGTGTCATACCATTGAAAATCTTGTTTACCCATAATTCTGTTATGCTTATTAATTTATATATACATTTCCCTATATTTTGTGCAAATTTGGATTATTATGGGACAAAACATGTCTATAAATGTCCCTACTCCCTTATTTTACCTAATGATCAGTTTTGCTGGAAGATAAACTAAGTATAGAAAAGTTTTAGGCTGATTGTCATTTCAGCAGTAGTGAATAAGGAGCAGACAATGAAGATGACACAAAATTAGATTAGACACTTATTAATACATACAGATTTACAAACAACAAGGGTACAATGATATTGCTATAGAGATGAACAAAATAATTATTATAGCAATTAAAAGTCCTACTGTCTATCGATTATTGGCCCACTTATACATGTAACAGTACTTTATAAGACTGGAATGTTCATGTTTTAAACAGTATTGAAGTAACAATAACAAGTATTGTATTTATTTTTCAGATTGTCTGCATGATACATAGTGAAGATGGGAGATATCTGGGTAACTGCTGGAATAACAGTTCTTAAATTGATCACCTTTGTTTATGATGTGATATCCTTTGTTCCCTATTACATAATCTACAGGCCTGATCTAAGGGTAAAACAGTGTCACCGATTAAAGGTAAAGATTTAAACTTAAAGTACACGCAATGTTATTTAATGAGAGAGCAAAATAACTCTATTGGGATAATGACTTAATTATTGTAAAGTAGTTGCTGGTAATTGAAGTTAAAAACCCTGATTTACAGAAATTTCATATAATACTTTTCAAATGTACAGAGAATTATAATAGACTGAATAACACAAAATAATCAGCGTTTACTACAACACACACCATCAAGAGTGACTTTTAACTGAATCATATTTGTACTATGAGCAAAATAAAGAAATGAAACCTATTTGTAGATATTCATAGCTAAGTATTTTTACCAATTAGTGGCATATTTTCCATCAAGTTATAATGCATAAAATTTGTTATCTCAAATTGACTTACACAAGAACCATTGATTTTTCCACAAACCACAGAATTTGAATTTAAAAAATTGACAAATGTATCCAAGATCATGAAAACTTCATTACAATGAAGAGATTTTGGATCCCTCCATTTAGAAAACACATTGATAAGAAAAACAGGTTACAAGCCAACAAGAAACAACTATACAAATGAATACCAATTGTTTTCATCTCAGCTGTTATGGAAAATACTACCATTCAGGTCATATTTCACAAATTCAATATATTTTATTTTAATTTTAAAATTTACAAATGGTTATAATAAAATTGAGAATGGAATTATAAGTTTACTTTTGTCAATGAAATACTTTTTGGGGTAATGGAGTAGACCAACCTGAATTTGATCATTTGTGGTCATCATATTACAGGCCAAGTCTGTTGGTGATAAAAGTGGTCCATACAGAGCTGTGGAAAGTCTTGGTGGGTTATCAACACAGCTACATGAATGTGATACACTAGATGACTTATTTTCTAATGCTGTCCAGTTATACTCCACAAGGAAATGTTTAGGATACAGGGAAATACTAAGAGAGGAAGATGAGAAGCAACCTAATGGCAGAGTGTTCAAAAAGGTATAGTTTTCAATAATTCATGAAAGACCCTAACCATGCTAACATCACTTCCAATGCAAGGGTCAATAGTTATGATGTTGTCATTCAGATCTATTTTTTTTTTTTTTATGTTTTTTTGTTTTGATTTGTGTTTATTTATACCATTCAAGTATCTCATCTTTTCAATGTCTTAATTTACTACAATGTTTCTTCTTTCAGGCACAACATTCATTTGAAATAGTTTGTTCTTCCCAAAAGGCATTTAAATTATGATTAAAGTACAAAAATGTACATGTATATTACATCAATATGTTATGTTTATATATAAAATTAAAGTGTTTTTATTTATTTGAACATGTATGAATATTGAAATATAGCTATTAATCTTGATAATATTACAAATATTTACTATATGGCAAGCTTTAATTGCCTCGAGTCTAATAAAGTTATGAAAAATTATCAAGAAACTATCTAGTAAGATCTTCCATCAATACAATGTCAATATCAATGCACTTGGGGTTAAAGATACTTATTTTGTTTTGAAAATGGAGAATAGAAAATATGCTTTGAAGCACACGGTTTAAAAAAAGTGAAGCAATAATAAACGAATCAATCAAGAGACCAATGCTTGTGTGAATCAGCATTGTTACAATTTCACCAGCTTATCATTAGCAGAAACTAGAACTGTTAACTTAATCAGACAGTATAATCATCTCCAGTCAGTAACAATATCAGATTTTTAAGATATAGAATCATTAAAGATTGAGATGATTACAACTGCCGAATTTTAAATTTCAAATAGCTAGCACAACACTTGTCATTGAAAGAACATTGAACTTATATCAACTGTAGCACTGTGCCTTTTTGTTGTAGAAAGAATCTGTATAGCAATAGTTATTACTGAGATATAAGAAGATGTGGTATGAGTGCCAATGAGACAACTCTCCCAAAAAAAATTAAATGTTGTTTTATATGCACAAATATATAAAAAGGGTAAAAGAGTCTTTATCAATTAACAAATTCTACATAATAATATTTGTGATATTTTTTTTAAGGTTATGCTTGGTGATTATAATTGGTTGACATATGAGGATGTTTTTACCAGAGCCACCAATTTTGGAAGTGGGTTACTTGCCCTTGGGAAGACTCCCCGACAGAATATTTTGATCTTTGCTGAAACAAGCCCATATTGGATGATAGCAGCTCAGGCTTGCTTCAAGTATAATTTCCCAGGTAGAATAATGTAGAATATTTGTCATATTTAAGAGTATTTGTTAGTGGATAAAATTATGTATGATCAAGATGTGTGTTTTAACAAATACTTTTATAATCTGGAAATAAATGAAGATATTGTTGATTACAGACTGTTTGTTGGTTTTTCTCTTTCATAAATGATGCAACATGGAAACCATTTTTAAAAAACAAAGTTGATTTACATATTTGAAAAAAAGGCTAAGATATTTTCTAAATGGCAATTTTTGTCTTCGAAATACACATTGTAGCTTATTAAGAACTTATATCTTTTTTCTTAAAGTCATATTACTTTGAAGATGTGTTGAAAATCAGTGTTAATATAAAATAGGCAAAGGATAGTTCATTGACTTACATGCTTTTTCCACACAACCACTGTGGACAACACATCCATGTTCACTAACATATCTGTTTATATATTCTGTAGAAATGGTGAATTAAATGCCTATCTGCTAGTGTCAATGGGTTGTACTTTTGTATATTTTATGATCAACCATAAGACACAGTATGTCCATTCCATAAGATTTGATTTTTGGTGTTTTAACGCCACTTTTAAGCACCGCTTTTGGGCTGTTTCGTGGCGGCCAGTTTTTATTGGTGGAGGAAGCCAGATCCATTCCATAAGATGGGTAGTGGGTACTAGGTAGATTTTATACCAAACTTGTACCAACTCATATATGGATGTGTGGGAAAAACAAAATCCACCTAATCTGTAGTGTCCCAAATCTAAAGATTCATACAATTATTAATACCGGTACTTTATACTTTAAAGAAAAAGTACAATGATAAAAAGAATGTGCATTTCTGGAAAATACTAATAGAAAAAAAAATGACATTTAGAACTGACATATTATTTTTGTAGTGGTAACTTTGTATGCTACATTAGGACCAGATGCAATTGTACATGGAGTGAATGAGGCTGACGTATCATATATCATCACCAGTGCTCAACTGCTCCCTAAATTTAAAGTAAGTCATCTTAGCATTATCAGTGAAGGAGTTGCAATGGACAAATAAAAATTACTTCTCCAAAAGACATTTGTTTCAAGTTTTTTAATTTTGGAAAACTTCTTTTGATGTTTTTGAAGGTTTGAAAAAAATAATGTTTTAATTTCCCCTAGGAATTAATAAACAAAATTCTGTTAGAAGAATTAGTTGGTAATGGATGGATAAAGCTTACTCTTCAAAGTAATGGTATTTTTGGTAAGTAAAATGAACAAAATGTCACCAGTATATATTTAGAATTCTTTTGACAATGGCAAAATTTCAATCTTAATGAATAGAAACGGTTCAAAGTTTGGGCTTCATGTTAAGATCTTTTTTTCTGTAAAACATATTTTTAAATTTTTGAACATTGACTGATGTAAAAGGGTTTTGAAATAATACCATTTATATATTTTAACAGGTATTTATATCTTTTCATGTTTGATATTTAAAAAATATGATCATGCACCAATTAAAGTGCTGAAATTCAAGTAATTCAAGTCATGTGTAAACATTAGTTGATAAAACTGAATAGAAAAAATATGGAGATTCTGCTCTAGTCAATCTTTTTTTTTCTTTTTCAATGTACAGTTGTATTGACTGTTAATGTAATAGTAAATTGTTTAACAGAAAAGAAATCTATATATTTTTATATCATGTAATTTTCACTGAGATTTTACTTGAAGTAAGCCAGATCTGCTGAATATTGTTTAAAAGTTCAACTTTCATCAAACAGACTCATGAATAATGTGTCAAGAAAAAGGAGATGTGGGGCAAGTATAAATGAAACACTTACCCAAAAACACAGAAAACAGATATTTAGTACTTTTGACATGTGTAAGATTTATATATCATTATCAATTTTGATATTTGTAGGGTTTAATGGACAGAATGCCTAAAGTGACACATATTATATACATACCTACACAGAGACCCCACCAACAGGACAAAGATATACCTAAACATGTTAAGCTCTTGTCCATGGATGAAGTAGAAAGTATTGGTGCTGTACCTGATAATTGTAAGTAATGAGTGTATATTCTCAAACAGAAGGCATATTATTTTGAAACTGATTCGATGTATTTTGATTTCAATTGGAACTATTATAAGAATTGTAAGCTGCTGAAATGATAATAACCAGTGGAAATCAGTTAGAAATACTAAGTAACCTATGTTTTAGTATCTAATTTGCACAATTTTAATTTCAACAGCTATTATTTAAATTGTGATATATCTGATCAGTTTGATATAAAAATATGGCAATTCGACATAAAATTTTATAGCTGAAATTTGAATTTGAGGATTAAAATATTATTACATTACTTGAACAGTTAACATAATTCTAAGTATTTAGAAATAAAATTAGATGGCAATTTTTATACTAATGATTTAGATGACATTTACCACAACTGTGGTACAGAAAATCAAATAATCATCTGTTTTTGTCCTAACTTCAAAGAGAGTATTTAAATGAGAAAATGCAGTAATGTTTGTACAGATTATCATAAGGAGGGAAGTTAAAAGTATCTTTTGTGAAGTTTAAAAAGATAAACAGTTTATTTTTTTTAAGTTTTCTTACTCCACTGCATGTACTTGTACTTTTTCATTACAGTGAAAACACCATTAACTAAGCCTAAACGTAAAGATATAGCAGTTATAATGTATACCAGTGGTTCTACAGGTGTACCTAAAGGTATATAAACATATAATCTTAAGTTATTACTATGAATGTACTTTTGCTTATGTGAATGTACTTTTGCTTATGTGAATGTACTTTTGCTTATGTGAATGTACTTTTGCGATTGACACATTATCTGTATTTTTAAAAATAGAAACCAGATATACCTCTGAGGCAGTATTGCAAAAACAAAATGAGACCTGCAAAAACAGCTAGTGGTTAACATATGGTCTTCAATCATAGGCAAGTGTCTTTCTCATATATAAAATTCCAAGACATGTTATGAATAAATGTGACAAATACCCATAGTATAGATGGGTCATAAATAAATTCGACACATGCACCTAATATAGGCAGGTAATGAAAAAATTTGACAGACCCCTTTAGTAAGGACAGGCTATTAATAAATTTGACAGATATCCTTAGTATAGGCAGGCCATAACTAAATTTGACAGATACCCTTAGTATAGACAGGCCATTAATGAATTTTACAGATACCCTTAATATAGACAAGCCATACATAAATTTGACAGAGACCTTTAGTATAGACAGACCATAAATAAATTTGACAGAGACCCTTAGTATAGACAGACCATTAATAAATTTCACAGATCCCCTTAGTAAAGACAGGCCATAACTAAATTTGACAGATATCCTTAGTAGAGACAGACAATTAATAAATTTGAAAGATACCCTTAGTATAGACAGACCATAAATAAATTTGACACAGACCCTTAGTATAGACAGGCCATTACTAAATTTGGCAGATATCCTTAGTATAGACAGACCATTAATAAATTTGACAGATACCCTTAGTATAGACAGGGTATGAATAAATTTGACAGAGACTCTTTATAAGACAGGTTGGGAATACATTTGACAGATGCCCTTAGTATAGACAGACCATTAATAAATTTGACAGAGACTCTATATAAGACAGGTTGGGAATAAGTTTGACAGACACCCTTAGTATAGACAGGGTATGAATAGATTTGACAGAGACTCTATATAAGACAGGTTGGGAATAAATTTGACAGATACCCTTAGTATAGACAGACCATTAATAAATTTGACAGATACCCTTAGTATAGACAGGGTATGATTAGACAGGTGATGAATAAATTTGACATAGACCCATACCTAGTATAGAGTCTTTATAGACAGGTTGTGAATAAATTTGACAGAGACCATTATTATAGACAGGTGATGAATAAGTTTGACAGAGACAGATTAAAATCCTTTTTTTTTCATCTGAAACTCTAGCCTGATTTTTTTTTCTGTTTCCTACCATGAAAATAGTTGTATTGAACAATTTTGGTTATTCTTGTTGCTTTGTTTAAAGTGTGGAATAGTAGTTTATGGTCAATTTAGTTGACACAGATTTACCTTTTGATTGATAATTAGGAAGGAACATTGAGCAGGGGTGTAAATAAGGTAATATCTAGTAAATACAAAAATGTAAAATCAGAAGATATAATATAATAAGTAAATTAATTATGATTTACAAAATTCAAAAGATTGCCAAGGTTGGTGGCAAATTTATTGATAGTAAATGTACCACAATGCATACGTGGGTTGTGTTTCAACTAATATAAAGACAACTTAAATAAACAAAGTACAAATGTAATAATTATTAGAGAAGTATATTTTTAGTTTTTAAAGCACCCTTACATTTTAGGTGTATTGATAACTCATGGGAATTTGTCATCAGGAATGTCTGGACAATGTGAGAACATCCTTGGATTAGGGTAAGTTAGTTGAAGCATTAAGTGAGGGGGATAAGGCCAGTAATTTCATCTTCTTTTCCCATTCCCCAATATTGGTTCTCTATTGCATTTATTTTCTATCTTCATTACTCCATCTTTCATTTTCAGATCATGTACCCCTAATTTATATTTTTTTTTAATCTACCAACTCTGAGTTCTCATACCCTCAATACAAGGCTCCCATTTGTGTTGTCCGTCCCCTCTTTACTGTATACCAGGGGATCTGTTATAATCTACAGAATTATCTAGATAACTGCTAGATCATTTGATATGCAAGTTCCATATATGATATTAAAAGATGTCATATCCATAGAAAAGGTGTATTCACAAAATGTATTTCTAGACTGGTTTCTTTTCATATTTATGCTGACTGCTACAAAATTGTTCTATGTATATAGAATATTATATTTAAATCCAGTAACCAACCAATAAGTTTTGTTTTTTTACATTTCAGAACTGATGATGTTTACATTGCATATCTTCCATTGGCCCATGTTTTAGAGCTTAGTGCAGGTATATATGGTCTCACTTTTAGTTTTAATGGATGTTTAGTACATATAATTCATGCTGTCAATAAAAAGTATGCATACACAAGATTTGAAAGGAAGTTTTGGACAAATAGAACTATATTGGTTTACTTGTGGTTTAATCAGATGATTAATGATTTAGTGAATTCATATAAAACAGATACAAGAAAAAACTAAACATTACAAAGAAAGAAAGAGAAAACTTTTATAAGTATAATAAATGCATTTGCTCTAGGGAAAATTAATATAAAAGGTCCTGACCCCTATAAGAACTGATTTAGGTCCTTCGTTTTATATAAGGTCGATTATATACTGTTTTAAATCTATATCTGCTGACCTTACTTTAAAGTATGTCTTGAAAATTATATAAATTTTCATAATTTTTAAGATTTTTATAAGGAAGATGAAATACACAGGGATAAGTTGTGTCCCCTTTTCATAGCCAAATGACCTTTGAATATCGTTTGCTATAATTAGAACTTAAATGATATACCTACATAACAAATCTTATTCAATTTATATATAAAGGTAAGATTTGATTTATATTGTGACATACATTCCTTAAATATGTAGATCAACATACATATTGTTCAGAGAGGCAAGACAATTGCCAAAATGATTACTTTATCATAGCATTTAGTCATCCTGATCATGAAGTAGAACTTTGTAACAAATTACCAAATGTTGTAATAATGTGAAGTTTGGTCAAAGTGACAACAATAAAGATGTTATGTAACAGTAAATTTGATTGGTTGTCAGATAATAGTGCAATGAAATACACCCAAATATAGAAAACATTCAATCAAACTACAGTTTTAAATGTATTGAAAATTAAACAATGGTTAATTTTTTGTGATGCATTGAAATCCTGCTAATAATAATTAGCTTCCTAATAATCTTTGGCCTTGGTGGCCAAGAGGTCTAAGTAGTCCAACTACTGAATCACTAGCCTGTCAACACTGAAGTTGTGAGTTCTTTTCCCACATGTGGCAATTGCGCTCAACTCCAACCTTAATTGAAAAGAATTGTCAGTTTTCCTATTGAGGATCAGTGGTTTTCTCCTGGCAATCAGGCTTTCTGCACCAATAAAAACTTGACAGCTACGATATAGCTTAATAGTGCTGAAAGTGGCATTAAACACCAATCAATCATCAAACCTAATAATCTTATTTGGAACTTCAGTTCAAAAATCATTTCCAGAAGGCTGATTGGAACATAAATCCTTTTGATGCTTCTGACTTCTGTTAACTTGCACATTAAATTTTCTTTCAATGAAAATACATGCTAGATTTTACATTACTGTGGATTTATTTATTTTCGTGGGTAGCAATATTCATTGATTGAGGAATAATTGTATTTTCCTGGATATTTGATTACCGGGTAAGTGATTTTGCCAAAGTCTGCATACAAGCCTATAGAAGTTCATACTACATTTAACATTTAAATTCGTTGTTCACCTTTACCCACAAAATCAATGAAAATTAGTATCCATAATTAATAACAAATCCACAGTACTCAAATATCTTTTTTGTCTAAAGGTGTTTGTATTGGTTATGGTTCACTGCTGACACTTACATTCTACATTTTACATTACAGAAATATCATGTTTGTCTAAAGGTGTTTGCATTGGTAATGGTTCCCTGCTGACACTTACATTCTACATTTTACATTACAGAAATATCATGTTTGTTTTAGGTTATGGTTCACCACTGGCCCTTACATTCTACATTTTACATTACAGAAATATCATGTTTGTTTTAGGTTATGGTTCACCACTGGCCCTTACATTCTACATTTTACATTACAGAAATATCATGTTTGTTTTAGGTTATGGTTCACTGCTGGCCCTTACATGCTACATTTTACATTACAGAAATATCATGTTTGTCTAAAGGTGTTTGTATTGGTTATGGTTCACCGCTGACACTTACTGATAAGGTACATACTGCACTAGATAAATTTAAAAAAGAGATGCTGATGTACACAAGACTAAAATTCACTTATGCATAGAATTGAAATGAATAGTAATTTTCATCTGAACCAATCTTTGATGAAGTAAAAATCAAAATGGCTTTTTCTGACTTATTCATTCACTAGTGACTTTTGTCTGGGGAAATGTTTGCATTATGTTCAAAGGTAAAGTTAATATTGATACTGTTTTTGTTGAGACCAGCCATATATATTGGTTCAGGAATGCATATTAAGGTTCAGGAATGCATATTAAGGTTCAGGAATGCATATTAAGGTTCAGATTTTTAGCATAATTGTACTATGGTGTGCTATATTTATACAGCTTACAATTTTAACAGCATTTCTGTGTCCAAGTATGTTGTAACCATATGAAGAGTCAATTTCTGTGCTTTCTGTAATCATCATGTATGACCAGAATGCAACATTCATTTTACTGTATGGTGCACTGTTGAATGTATGTGGTTCTTTAAACACTTCCTAATTGTGTTTTCTTTGCATTTTAAGTCCAGTAAAATAAAGAAAGGTAGTCAAGGAGATGTTACAGCCTTAAAACCAACATTGATGGCTTCAGTTCCTGTAAGTACATTGTAAAAACTGTCATCACGTAAAAAAAATATGTGAGGCCATATAATTTTTCATTATATTTTTAATTCAGAAGGCATTTGTAGTAAAATTGCCTCTAAGGCTGAATGTAAATACTGTGACCTCATATGTTTTCCTCCTCTTTTTTGCCGTTAACAAATAGTATTCAAAAGTTTCTACTAGGATAATGCCAAGTTTACCTATCTTGATGAGATGTGAGGTAAATTGTTTTGTTGTTAAATTTGATATTTCAATTGAAAAATTTTAAACAGCTGTTAAAGATGTGAAAGAAGTTTAGCTGGCACTAAATGTTGCATATTGGCATTATAGTGTAATGTCTCATGGCAAAAATGTAGCAACACTTTGCTTATTTACTCTAAGTTCTAGAGAATTGTGACAATCTAAATTTGTTTGGTGTTCTGCATCAGTTGGTAGAGAAGAGGGTCCTTAGTTCAGTCCCAGGTAATGCAGCTGTTAACTTTTAAAGTGGAAATGTTCTAAATAGTGTAAGGATTTTTTTAAGATTGATAATTTTTTGTAGCAAATTATGGACAGATTATATAAGGGAGTGTGGGAGAAGGTTACAGAAGATGGAGAATTCTCCAAAGCCTTATTTAAATATGCCTGTGATTACAAAACAAGAAGACTAGTTGATGGGTATAGCACACCATTATTAGATAAGTAAGTTTGATTTACTTGGTATTATATGGGTAGGAAAGGAGTAACAACTAATATGTCAGAAAAGAGTACTATGAAAGTACTTTAATTCTTGGGTATCAATTTCCTTGGTTTGAGAAAAAATCATATGTTCGTGGTTTTTGAATTCATGGATCTTAGTTTTCTGAACAAAAATCGAGAATTGGCAGTCATCAGAAACGAAGATTCTATTATTATATGTTGTTTTATAATGATTTGTGGAACATTTCACTTAATTGTCAGTCTTTCATTACTGACAATATTCATCAAATAGTTAATAAAATATTTGCTTTTAGAAATAAGCTGATTCATCTATGCTTACAAATTATCTCTATTGAATGGAAATTGCAAAGTAAACATTGTAATTGTTGCACATGTGTTATTAGAAGTGATGACACTAAGTAATTCAAAATCAGAACATGAAATCGGACTCGGCATGCGGATACCATTCAAATGTTGAGTACGCCCATTTAATCGACCTCATTTTTTCGACATTGAAACGAATTATCAACAGATTAACGTTCATCAAAGTTGTTAATTGTACACATTGTAAACATGTCATTTAAAGAAAACGGTTAAAAATGCTACAAATTTTCCTTAAATTGTAGGATTAATTCTTATGAAATAAAAACGCAAGCCCAATATGATTTTTTTTTTCGTATGAGATTTTTGGGGAGATAAAATGAACACTTCGTCATCTCATATCCTCACAGAAAGTCTGACTTTCATCGATCATTACTTATTTTTCATAAGAATTATAAGGTGAAAATTCTGGCAGTTTAGGTTTCTTAAAGATAAAATGTGTAAAATCTTGTCTGCAGTTGTACATATAGTTCATAGTGCGTTTGCTGATATTCGATGTATTTGCTAGATTATATGCCCATATCCATGTAGTAAAACCCACATGGGGATCTTTCCATGTCTTGATTTGGACAACAGTTGTTATACTTCGTTGGACACTTAGATTAGTGGATAAAGCCATCCACGAAAACCACGAAAATTGGTATTCCACGGATAAATGTACTTTCACAGTATGTGAATTTTTCAACCTCGTATAAAACATATAAGAATATTTTATAAATACATTTACCTGTGATATTTATTTATGAGCTTTCTCAACTTTCAGCAGTATTCTATTTAAGGAAAGGGTTTATGTGGGGAAAAAATATAGGACAGCAGCTTCAGTATCAATCCCAGATTAGGCACTGGGGTCCATGGAAAATTATTCTCCCAGTGTTTTCATTTGATAGAGAGCAAATAACTGTCTAAAATAACATTCCCAAGCCCTTGTGATTTGATTTGGCACAACAGCTATCTCTGGTGTAGTTTTTTGGTGAAAATACCAAAAATGCAGAAAGCTGACAATGATGAAACCAAAAAATTGAAATGTGAAAAAGAGGAATATGAGATTTATTGAATCCTGGAAACACACTTTAAGGGTATCGGAGATGGTGTCGATTGAATAATTTGTATATAAATACTGTACAGGACAGACAAATAAGTCCTCGAAAATTTTACAACAAAAAATAAACACAGAAAACTACAAACTTATATATTTAGACTTAAACCATATATATTTTGCTTTGAGTTTGCTCTAAGGTCACTGGTGAACTGGTATGGTTCAAGTGGCTTGTTACAGTACTGTCGGCAATCCACTGCATTTCATTCCTGTTTTAGTTGCATTTACCTGATTTTATGTCATTAAATGGCAGTAAAAAAATTCTTAAGAAAATACAAAATTGGACAAGTGGTTATCTCTTTCGGACAAGTAACATTTCATGGTAACTTGTTGCTAAAAAAGTTAAAGTTGAACCCTGAAATGAACTATCTTTTTAGTTTCTGATTAGTACAAACATTTTTACCAAATGTGATTAAAATTCATGTAGTGTTGCCAACATGTAACAAATGTTTTATCTTTATCTAGAGAAATGTTTGCAAAGGCTTTTTCAAAAAGGGAAAATTTTAAACACTAAAAATTTAATTTGACATTTTATCAAAATATGTGAACAAATAAGAGAAATTCTAGATAATCACTAAAAAAATTAATATTTAAAGTAGAATACATAGGTTTGTTAAAAAATGAAGAATATATATGAATAAAGTAGACTTTGGGTATATGTTTACATCAATAAGAAAGCAATTCAACACACCATAGAATTAGAAAAATATTTGCAATAGTTTCTTAACTGTATACATCTTTTTAAAATAGGATGTTCAAAAATCTTTATTGTAAACTGCATATATTTAAAGATTAAGTTGGCACTTCTGATAGACAAAGAAAAACAAATTACATGTAGAAGTGCAAGTAACTAATTTCTAAACAAAGCAGTGTTTACAAATCTGTCCAAATATTAGGTCAATATAAGGCATTCATAAAATCACTAACCATGTTGATAAAAAGAAAGACCAAGGTCTATCAACAAAATTTATAAAATGACTTAAGAAAACTGCAGATTTCCCTGCTTAATTTTAGAATTTATAGTTGTTATATCACGATATAATGTCAGCATTATTTTTGTCATATTATAGTGAGGTCTTATATTCTAGATATTGTGTAGTACATTTTACCATAATTTTTAATCTGTTAAGGATACCTCAGTAACCTTTTTTAGCTCACCTGACCTGAAAGGTCAAGTGAGCTTTTCTCATCACTTTGCATCCGTCGTCCGTCGTCCGTAAACTTTTACAAAAATCTTCTCCTCTGAAACTACTGGGCCAAATGCACCCAAACTTGGTCACAATCATCATTGGGGTATCTAGTTTAAAAAATGTGTCCGGTGATCCGGTCAACCAACCAAGATGGCCGCCATGGCTAAAAATAGAACATAGGGGTAAAATGTAGATTTTGGCTTATATCTCTGAAACCAAAGCATTTAGAGCAAATCTGACATGAGGGTAAAATTGTTTATCAGGTCAAGATCTATCTGCCCTGAAATTTTCAGATGAATCTGACAACCCGTTGTTGGGTTGCTGCCCCTGAATTGGTAATTTTAATGAAATTTTGTCGTTTTTGGTTATTATCTTGAATATTATTATAGATAGAGATATACTGTAAACAGCAATAATGTTCAGCAAAGTAAGATCTACAATTAAGTCAACTTGACCAAAATGGTCAGTTGACCCCTTAAGGAGTTATTGCCCTTTATAGTCAATTTTTAACCATTTTTCGTAAATTTTTGTAATCTTTTACAAAAATCTTCTCCTCTGAAACTACTTAGACAAATTTAACTAAACTTTTACACAATCATCATTAGGGTATATAGTTTAAAAATGTGTCTGATGACCCCGCCCGCGAACCAAGATGGCCGACATGGCTAAAAATAGAACATAGGGGTAAAATGTAGATTTTGGCTTATATCTCTGAAACCAAAGCATTTAGAGTAAATCTGACATAGGGTAAAACTGATTATCAGGTCAAGATCTATCTGCCCTGAAATTTTCAGACCAATCAGGCAACACGTTGTTGGGTTGCTGCCCCTGAATTGGTAATTTTAAAATATTTTCCACTGTAACTACTGGGCCAAGTTCATTATAGATAGAGATAATTGTAAGCAGCAAGAATGTTCAGTAAAGTAAGATCTACAAACACATCACCATCACCAAAACACAATTTTGTCATGAATCCATCTTTGTCCTTTGTTTAATATGCACATATACCAAGGTGAGCGACACAGGCTCTTTAGAGCCTCTAGTTTATTTCTTCGTATTCAAGATGAAATATCTTAAAAGGATTGTCTTTTTGTAGGATACTTTTCCAGAAAATTAGGAATTTACTTGGAGGAAGAATAAGAATGATGTTGAGTGGTGGTGCTCCACTATCGGAGAAGTCACAGATATTCATGAATGTCTGTTTTTGTTGTCCAGTATTACAAGGTTATGGTCTTACAGAGACGTGTGGAGCAGGAACTATTACAGAAGGTTAGAGATACAATATTGTATAGAATTACTACCAGAGGTTTAATGTACTAGTAAAAAGATATGTAGGGTATACATCAATTAGACAGCAACTACACAACAGGATAAAACCAGGTAAGACATAGGATCTGTATTTCTGTTAGATTGAGTACTTAAACATATTCTAAGTTATTATGAATAAAAGAATATGTTGGGGGGGATGTCAATGAAAGAGGGCCACAACAATAACAAAAACATTAAAAGAAAAGACTTTGAGAGTTCAATGTATGGTCTAAGAGGGGAGAACAGATTTCAAGTCAAAATTTTAAATAGAAGAAGATACTAGTATATAGATTCTTTTCTTTTATTGTTTACATTCTGTGCATGTAAAAAATAAGCGTAACTTTTATATATGTATTTTTATTGTCATTTATTTTTTTGCAGTGGCAGACTTTTCTACAGGAAGAGTTGGAGCCCCATTGATTTGTACTGAGCTAAGACTTAGAGACTGGATAGAAGGTTGGTAAATTGTGTTTTTCTAAAGCTGATTTGAATAAGATCTAGAACAGAAAATTAGTAAGTTAGAAATAAACTTAAAATTTTGAATGAATAATCTATAAAACATCTGTAAAATCAATACTGGAATTGTTGTCATGTTTTATTCTATTTTATTTGTAGGCAATTACAGATCAACAGACACACCTTGCCCAAGAGGAGAAATATTGCTAGGAGGTGGTAACATTGTACAAGGTTACTACAAAATGGAAGAGAAGACAAAAGAGGATTTTATAGAGATAGAGGGAGTAAGATATTTTTGTACTGGTGATATCGGACAAGTCGAAGAAGATGGTTGTGTTGCCATTATAGGTACATTATTATTTTAATCCATGGTTTGATTTCGTACAATAAACTGTTCAAAACTTATTTAATTGATATCACACACCTTATGTGCATATATGTCAATGAGACAATCTGACAATTTAAGCTGAACTGTTAGTGTCATACAAGCACATATATGTAATCAGTATATATGTTTTCCGTAGATTAAATTTCCAAAAGTAATGTTGTGAAATATAATTTCTTTTTTGTGTAGCCATGGCAACATTCTGCATTTATTTGCAATAAAATATGGCAAAAGGGGGTATGAAAATGTCAAAGTTGTCACCAAATTGAGGTCCAAAGTCAATTTCAATCCCTTTGTGTGTAATCTTTTCAGAAAGCATTAACATTCATCTATTGAAATATCAAATAAATATCATATGCTGCTTATCTCATTTTTCTGTCAAAATTGCATCACAAAGTATGTTTTTAAAAAGGGGGAAGTAAACATTACAATACTTTCTGGAACTATCTCTGGTATGGATATAAAACACAGACTATCAAACAAAAGATAGTCCATAAAACGTACAAAAATTAATCTTGATGTTCATTTTAACCCATTTTGAAAGCTTATTCTTCAGCTATTTGAAAACAAATTTAAAACACAATATTTTTTTTATTTATTATGTGGTCAAGTTTGGTCCAGATCAGGGCTTCCAAAACAGTTGTATTGTCTGGACCTTGTCTGATAAATTATATATGAATATGACAGTTGTTTTCCATTCGTTTGATGTGTTTGCGCTTGATTTGTTGTGCTGAGCCTGAACCGGGGGTTTGCCATTTTAACATAATTCAGAAAAAATTGAAGTTTATGCAATCTTTTTGACCTGTCTTTTTGCCTTAAACAGCTACACATTTCCATTTATAAAATGACATGATGAATAAGTACTATCAAAACAAACCTTACTTTAATAACCCTCATTGAAATCAAGGTTAATTAGTTATCAGACAACTGAAATTTACTTGTTCAGGGGACAGGTAAACTATTTTTTACCAGACATTGATCGGTCTATTTTAAGTTATTTTCTTAAATATCAACAGTTTACATCCAATTTATTTAGTTGAAAAGATTTAGATTATCAGAAAGACATATTTGAATATGATTTGATGAAATATTTGGTAGTAATAAAGGTTTTAAGTGAAAAATCAACAGAACGACGTTGTTTGAACTAGTATATTCACAGGTGCGAGATTTGATTATGAATCCTAATTCTTCAAGAAAATAAGATTCATGACCCCCTATTTTTGTTTGATAATTAGGAAGTATTTATGAAAAGCAATTCTCTCATTGAATTTTAACCAATTCTATAGTTTAAATGTTTCCTCAATTAGAAAAATTAAGTTTCTCCTACCGGGGTATATATAAAAATAAGGAGATGTGGTTTGGTTGCCAATGAGACAACTATCCACCAAAGTTCAAATGAAGTGGATGTAAGCAATTATAGGCAACTGTACAGCCTTCAACAATGAGAAAAACCCATACCATATAGTCGGCAATAAAAGGCCCCGACATGAAAAATATGTAACAATTCAATTAAGAAAACTAACAGCCTAATATATAACAAAACAATTTATGAAAAAACAAATATGACAGACATGAACCAACGACAACCACTGAACTACAGGTTCCTGACTTGGGACAGGCACATAAAGAATGTGGCACTTAAACATGTCTGTGAGCGCTTTCCAATCCCCCTAACCTGGGACAGTGGTGTTACAGACTGATACAAAGCAGAAAAACATCTAACAAAAGCACAGACCGGACATGGCAGTGTATTTATACATCTCTAACAACACAAAAGACACAAAGTACAGTACAGATCTGAGAGTACTCAAAGTTACTGACAGCTAGTTCAAAGCCAATAACAACATATAAAAAAAATCATGTATCTTAGACTAAAATATTAATCAGTACACATCCAACATCCAATGGATTTAGTGTAAAGACATCATTAACAGTCAGAGAAAAACATGACCTTGTGCAATGCCAAAATATAAGTATCGAAAGGTTGTAGTACTGTGAAAGTGCATATGTGTATAAAAATAATATTTAGTATGGTTTTAATTTACTGATAACAAAATCAATATTTATATCAATGAAAACAATATTCAAAGATCTAATTACAGTGTTGAATTGGTAACCTTTTAGAATAAGTTTATTTACAGGATTGATAACCCATATAAAATAACTGATTTCGTTAATTTCAATGTATTTTAATGAAAAAACAAGGTTGGTAACGTCCAGTTTTGATATTGAAAAGTTCATTGACCCAGAAGTCTTTCACAGAAGTTTAAGAAAAATCTATCGTCAAACATTTAGACACCCCAGCGACCTTAAAATTTTTTATACATAAAATAGCTAACCCAGGATAAATATCGATACATATTTAAATTGTGACTGAGAATCACTGATAATTCACTTATGCCCTACACATAATTGTGAATAAATGTGTCGTTTGGTGTCTCACTGGATATTTTTCAGTATTCAAATTTTTTGATTAGTTATTCTATAATTTATTGCCAACATTTTACAGACTGTGTGAAAATTTTGACAAAAAATTTCAAGAAACTAAAAATATTTATTTTAGATAGGAAGAAAGATCTAATAAAGTTACAGTCGGGAGAATATATAGCCCTGGGTCAAGTAGAGACAACATTAAAGATGTGTACCATAGTGGAACAGATTTGTGTATATGGGTCATCACATCATGATTTCACCATAGCTTTTGTTGTACCATCAGCCAGACCATTGAAGGAATTAGCTGAATCCATGAGCCTTGAAGGAGATATAGCTGATCTTTGTAAAAATAAGCTAATTGAGAAGGAAATTATCAAAAGGATAACAGAGTATGGAATCAAAGGTTAGTGTTATATTTATACTAAATTATTGTGAATAAAAGGAAATGTGGGATGTCCATCAATTAGGGAGTAACACAATGACACAAATAGCCAAAACTCATTATATGACCGCAAAAAATTTTGTGTCGTATATTGGTATCACATCGTCGTCATTGTCGTCGTCATCAACGTCGTCCGAAGACAGTTGGTTTCAAGACAATAACTTAAGTATAATTAAATAGAAATCTATGAAATTTATATACAAGGTTTATAACCACTAAAGGAGGGTTGGGATTGATTTTGGGGGTTATGGTCCTAACAGTTTAGGAATTGGGGGCCAAAAAGGGGCCAAAATAAGCATTTTTCTAGTTTCCAGACAATAACTTGTGGAACAGCGTATGGATCTCTCTGAAATTATACCACAAGTTTCCATACCATAAAGGGATGGTTAGGATTTGCTTTGGGGGGTTATGGCTCAAACCGTTTAGGAATTAGGGGCAAAAAAGGGGGAAAAACAAGGGTTTCCTGGTTAATGGACAATTACTTAAGACAATTTTAAAGCAGTGTAAGGGAGATTATCCAATTCGCAATAGCAAAGTGTATTGCACAAAAGCAAAAAATTGAATATAAATTCAAATCATATAACCAATTCTAAGTTCTTTGACTACAGTTATTCTGTGTCAGAAACCTATTGTGTGTCAAATATTTAATTACATTCCAAATTCAGACCTGTATCAAGCGGGAATATTGTGTCCATTTTTGCCCCAACTGTTCAGGCTTGGACGGACCTCTGCGGTTGTATCCAGCTGCGAAGCAATTTATCTATAATATACTATCTAATTTAAGTCTGTTGACTGCAATTACCAAGTCTTTAAGATATTGGCTTTCTTGAAATGTTCATTGCTTCGTAAATTTTGTTATGATGGAAACTGTCATCAAGAATTTAAATGGATTTTAATCTGCTATAAATTACTTTAAAAAATGTGAGATGAAAAAAAGCTATTTTAAGGGTCACATTCTATCAGAGAAATTGTCTTTTCTTTGTTATATGTTGTCTTTAATACCCTCACATACTAATGTACTCTGTATGGTTAGAATAGTTGAAATGATGAATCCGGAAGTTGGTCAGTACTTTTAAATGAGGCTTCTGATATAAAACCCTTGTAAACAAAGCTATGCTGTAATTCCAATAAAACAGTGGGTACACGTGCTGGATTTTTTTAATGTCAGTTGTTCTCTGATTGACACTGGATAAAACAAGCATACAGCATGACATGAAAGAATTATTTCTTTAATAAAGTACACAAATAAAATGTACATTTATTTAAATGTTTGGACTGATTTTATAAAGGAAAACATTGGAATAAAGCAAAAAAGTATCCAATACAGAACTTGGATTGAATTACTCCTATCTAACATATTGCACAGCAAAGTAATACATCCTATACAGCCAAGCTGAGGACTCATCATCAAGCTTCTAACAGTCAAACTGGAAGAGTCTTGGTGGTGATAATTTTGTACACTAGGTGAATTTTGAACGAGGGAGTCTGACAAACTGCATATGTTTATTTACTTGTGAAAAAAAAAAACAATGATTTTTGACTTTATATTTTTGCAGCCAAGCTTGATAAATTTAGCATCCCCAGAAAGATTTTATTGTGTCCTGAAGTATGGATGCCAGATTCTGGACTAGTTACTGATTCCATGAAGTTTAAAAGAAAAAGTATTGAAGCTGAATTTAAAGAGGAGATCAACAGAATGTATGACTGTTAAACCACTATACTATATGTGTGCAAAAATTGCAGTGTTGTCCATAATTTTGTGTTGGATGGATTTTTTGCTTGATAGAAACTTTTATAAACATTACAAGCACAATAAAAAGGAACTGGTTTGATGATTTTGAAGTCACTGAGCTTTAAAATCTGTCATGTTGTGAATGTCTTCATCATGTAATGGCCTGTTGTTTAAGGGCATACGATATAGATTTGATTTCACAGTGATTTTTTTATAAAATGATGCATACAAGCTATATTTTCCCTAGTCAATTCAAATATGTAAATAAAATATACCTTCATGTGCTACTTTTAGAGATAAATGGGATGTGAATTTTAGACATTTACTCTAAATTGCGGTTTCTTCAACATTTCTATCCTCTGGTACCTGACTTTTTGTTTCGAAAGATAAACACAAGTGGATTTTTTTTGTAAGGCATTTGGAAAATCTTCTTTACATAAATAAGTTTCTAAATTAGTGTAACATTTCTTTGGAAATAACTTATTTTTATCAAAGTATTCATGATTTTAGAGGACAAAAAAAACCACATTTTTTGTTGTATTATTATCTAATTCAAAAAAATTTCATCTGTAATTTGTTCATAAAAATTGGTACAAATAATCTTCATACATAATCAAACCAAATGTCATTTTAAAAAAGAGGGGTCAATGTACTTGTTTGCAAGCTAAAGATTAAATCAGTCGAAAAATGCATCTTTTCCCAATATGTCACAGTTTGAGTCACTTTGCAAAAAATAACATTTTAAGTAAGCAACGTCATTACCTCCCCTGTAACTGTATTGTATGCCCTTAAAAGAACCATGTCCTTGAAATTGATATTGCATAAAGTCACCTGCTACATAAAAATATATATCAAACACAGAACAGTGTCTATGTCTGCCTTAAGTCATTGCTAGCTATAGTATAACAATATATTATGTATTGATGTCATTGTTAATCAAGATATTAGAACTTGTAGTAATATGCTACATATAGTTGAGAAATAATCTTTAACTACAATCGTTATCATCTGTACATATTACGATTATAGGGTGGGTAATGACATGCTAGTGGATTATCAGAGCGCCAAGGGTTCTATCCAATCAAAATGCTATTGCTTTTTTAAGGGATGAATTAGTTAATTATTGTAAATTAACAATTTATGATGTAACTGTGTAATTTTTTTTTCAACTAAGTTTCTTTGGGCAAAGTTAGCCTCTCAAACATTTGGCATGTAGGTACCTCATGGGGTTTCCATATGCCATGTATACTAAAATCAATATAACATGTTCATGGGGATTAACATTTGTTTCCCTGAAATCTTTAAAAGCAAAACACTTGAAAATGCATATATTAGATGCAGAAATTCATAGATAAATTGTATACTTTTCTGTAAACTTTGCATCTAGAACTTATTAAAAATTGATATAAATATTAATAAATTATTGACTTACATCTGTTCTAGTGCCATAGAACAAGTGATTTGTATTCATTTGAAATAGATGCATATTTAATCTTTATCTAAATGTACGACTTCCAAGATTATATTAACCTCTTGCCATTGATGTTTTACATGTATAAACACTTGTTATAGTTTCAAGATTCCAGTTGTTGATATTTTTATTATTGTCAGATGGCTTTTTCATTTATTATAGAATAAAGGTTGGCATCTCAGATAAATATTATAGGCATTGCCATTGGTGATATTCTGCCATAAGAAATGTATTTTTTTGTATGATGAAGTAAAACAAAAAGTGCCCTTTGACAATCCATATTTTTATTTCTGAACAGACTTAAGTTCTTTTGTTATCTAAATTTTTCACAGACTAAAAGGACTACCAGCAACTGAAGTTGTTTGTGCCAAAAAGAAATAAAGGGGTGATATACCATAATATCCTAAATGTTTGAGATAGTTTTGATAACACAAGTCAGATTGTAGACATTTTACAAAGTTATAATAATATGTTGATTCTAAAGTTTACAGAAGTCAGATCCAAAGTAAAGAAACAACACTTTATTGCTGTTTTTCATCTAAAAGTCACAGTAAATATAAAAAAGAAGATGTGGTATGATTGCCAACGAGACAACTCTCCACAAGAGACCAAATGACACAGAAAATAACAACTATAGGTCACCGTACAGCCTTTAACAATGAGCAAAGCCCATACCGCACAGTCAGCTATAAAAGGCCCCGAAATGAACAATTCAAACGAGAAAACTAATGGCCTAATTTATGTACAAAAAAAATGAACGAAGCTGTTTAGTATGAAACAAACTGAAGTTCAAGATGATCTCTAGCACTCATTTGAGCAGAATTCTTTTCTACATGTAAAGGGGTCAACCTTTAAAGGCTGTTAATGAAAAAATATAAAGGACTAAATCTCAGAATGTTATAGATCTGTCTTCCAATATATGTTTTCCAGTATGCTATTGATAATTCATACACTCAATACATTTCATTATTAATAAATCTTTATTTTATTTTATTTTTACAGTATCTTATAACTTGACTTGAAATATTTCTTTAAATGATAAAATTTTGGTTACTAGTATAATATATATTGTTCTAAAAAATTAGTGCAAAACATTAACATTAATTATCATTACAAAATGACAAGCATCTGTCATGGCTGTGTTCAATTTTTTTTTTATAGTTTGCAATTATGAAAAAAAATATATTTCAAAAGTCTTTGGTTTTTTGGGACCTTGGGTGAATAAAGTGATAAAAACCTATACCCAATATGGAACTAAAAAAGCTAAATAAACTTAAGCATAATTAAGTAAAAAATGTACTACTTTAATGTTTTATTACTGTTATTTATTCCTATTTTGTCTTTTTTCTTTCCTTATTTTTTATGTTAAAAATTATATTTTTGTTAAGTTTACACAATTTTCTTTATTTCTCTCCTTTGTTATATTATTTTTTATTAAACCATTTTGCATTCTTACTTGTTGTTTTATACATTAAAAAAGTCTAAAATTATTTTAACACATATGTATTCCTATTTTTTTAGCATATAAGATAACAGATTTTTTCCTCAGACTTCTGTCTATATTTTATATATATGGAATTGATTTAACTCTTTTTTTATGTCTTATAGAACTAGGACATATAAGTCCCACCTCTTCTCCCTACCATTTTAGAAAAGAGAAGTCAATTCTCCCTCAGATTCTGAAGTAGTGCAAGCCCAAATATGTTAATTAAAATCTCATCAGAAAATCTAGCATCAGTTAAATTTATTCAGCAATTGATCTATTTGAGTGTGTAATTAGGATATTAAATTAAAGAGAACTTGTTTTAGTTGGCTGAACCATGAATCCTTTAGCTATATAGATCAAACCTGTAAAAACAATTTCTTGCACCTTTTTGTAGATACCTTTGGGGATCCAAGTTGCCAGCCCTCCCCTTTTTGTGTTAAGTGAATGATTCTGATTATTTGGCTACCAGTTTCTTATTTTTCAGTGGTACCCTACAGGCTTCCATTTATGAAAATCCTGTAATTGCCAAGATCTAAATTGCTCAAGTTGTGAATGAATTCATTTGAGAATTATTCTGTTGTTACATTTTTTGTGATCCTATATTTTTTAGCATATCAGGAAATAAACAAAGATGAAATATTTGCATCATAATATGATATTGTGTTCCTGTTAAACAAATAACAACAATCAAATTAAAGTAAACTGGTCTGAGAAATTTTTTTTTGTAGTCAAGCAGCTTCATTGATTTATGTACACCTGAGAGCTATATTTTTGCCATATTTGTAGAATTTGTAGCATAATAAATGTTTATCAAGTGGAAGTTTTTCTTTATCTGTTTTTAAACAGCTAACCCTATATTTATGGCAATTCAGAAGTTTTAGTTATTTTATTAGATTGACAATTTAATCGTTTGTGCTTTATAAGAGACTTACAGGGTATGCATTTACTACGAATAGAACATAGGAGGTAAAATTGTCAAAATTGTTGTTCTTTATGGGGTTTCTGTAGCTGATATTTATGTAATAGATAATTAGTTAAAGATGACACAAATTTTGTTCAGGTAAACTTACTTCTGACCAAATATGTCCCTTGGACTTCAAAATAACAAGGATGTTAAGCAGGCAACACTCAACCAATCAAATGAACAAATTTAGTTCTCATATAAGCTGATGATTTGTGTATTTGTACAAAGAATAGTTACAAATCATTTAAGCTTCATTTCGGGTTGACTTAATTTAAAGAAATTCATGTAATTATCTGTTTTTTCCTTGTGTTGCCAGCTTCTGGTATCCATCATTGTTTCTCTCTTTTTTTTAATATTCACTATTGACACCAATGAGCCAATGAAGAACAAAAGTGGTTCGTGTCATCCTTAGAGAGGTATACTGGTAATTTCTGTTCTATTTCAGTTGCTTCCATTATCACTTATGACTCTCTATAGCTCTTGTCAACCCATTGGTCAAACTAACTCTTATTTATCTTGATGCTACATGTTATTAATCTTTCTTAATTGATTGCAAAAGAGAGAGAAAGATTGGAAAATTTATAGACGCATAGTAAGAACATACTTTTATAGCTGACTATGCAGCATGGGTTTTGTTCATTGTTGAAGGCCATACAGTGACCTGTAGTTGTTAACTTCTATGTCATTTGGTCTCTAGTGGAGAGTTGTCTCATTGGCAATTATACCACATCTTCTTATTTTTATATTGCATTTTAGTATGAATTAGAATAAGAAAACATATGACCTTACAAGACAATTTAAATTAGGGCTATTCCATTAAAATGTATGTGGGAGGGTAGGAAGGGAAGTTTAGTTATTGAATGTGGGTCATGGGTCTTTTTTCAGTATGCGTCTATTACCATTATGCAAAATTATCTAAAAAATGGTTCTTGGTTGTAGGGATATTTTGAAAGTCCCTTCCTACCCTCCCACACACATTTTAATGGAATAGCCCTTAGATGCAGTTGGAAAAAGAAAGTATTTTGTAATGAGAAAAAGGACAAGGGAGTAGAGGCCATTTTTTTTTCTTTGCTAATTTAGGATGTTAAAAAATTTATGTAAATATGCACAAATGAACTGTGAAAATTTACGTTATGTCTTTAAGGGCATACGGTACAGTTACATGGGAAGTAATGACGTTGCTAACATAAATTGTTATTTTCGTGATGTCAAACTGTGACATATTGAAAAATATGCAGTTTTCGACTGTTTGTTATCATTCAAACTGATTTATCTTGAAGACAAGTTCATGGAGCCCTCTTTTTTAAAATGACATTTTGTTTGATAACGTATGAAGATTATGTGTACCAATTTTCATGAAAAAGTCAATAATGCAATTTTTTTAATGATGAATATACAACAAAAAATGACGTTTTTTTTTCTACATTCATGAACATTTGATAAATGTGAGTTATTTGTAAAAATAAAATGCACACATTTATAAGACATTTAAATAAAACAGAATTTAAAAATAATTTAACAAAAAGCAGTTTGTGTTTATCTTTTATAACAAAAAAGTTATGTATTTCTGTTGAAAGGAAAAATACGTCCACAAATCCAAATTTTGAGCAAACATCTAAAATTTCGACCTTAATTTTCTCAAAAAGTAGCCCATGAAGGTATATTTTTTATTTCATATTTGAGTAAATCAGGTAAAAAAATAGCCTATATGCAAATTTTCATCAAAATTTCATTATGGGATCAAAACTGTATCGTATGCCCTTAAGCAGACATTGGTTTAGTCAATTTCCTGACTTATAAAGGTTGTACAAAGTGCAAAGCTATCTTATAAAATGGTTATATGTGTGTGTGGGGGGTATTGTGTTATTGATTCCTGCAGTTTTATTCCAGATCCTTGAAACTTTACCGAAAGATTTTGCACATATTGAAGATGTGCAACTGCTATTATGGAATGGTTTGAAGAAACTTTTCAGATTTTACAAGACTTAGGAACTCTGTCATATGTCTGCATAATTTACAAAAGACAGTGCCAATTTTGTGCAATCCAAGTCCACTTACAGATTTCAACCACGAATCTATAAAACGTGACAAATAAGTTGTACAAAATTGAGTTTTGAATCTACTACTTTTAAATTTTAGGATTTTTTTCTCATTTTTCAGATAAATTTTCAAAAGACTACATATTGTGTGAGAAATGTCTCCTGTAGTTTCCAACCCAGATCGTTGAAACTTCATATGACGCAAGGGGGGTTAACAACCTTGACTACCCATGAGGTGTCTTGCACGGTCAATGCCTGCAAACAATTGAAATTGCCAAGATTTTATTATGGAGCTGATTAAAGATTTCCACATTATTACATTTTATGTTTCCATATATTCAAATGTTCATTACAGAACATTCTATGCAACCCGACCATTTGGGTCTTTGTTCCATTTTTGTCTCGCCTTGACGGAGTCAAAAAGCGAGACATAGGTATGCTGTTTCCGGCGTTGCCGGCGGCAGCGACAACAATGTATTAGTTTGTGATTAGGTCTAGTTCATGGTGAACCACTAGTGGTAGGTCAATGATATTTGGTATGCAGTTGCATTAGCATTGGCACATCTCATTTCCATGGAGATAATTTGGCCCCGCCCCCTCAGTCAAGGTCTATTGACTTTGAAACTTTTCATAGTTTACATGTATTAGTTTGTGATTAGGTCAGTTTATGGGGAACCACTAGTGGTAGGTCAATGATATTTGGTATGCAGTTGTATAAGCATTGGCATATCTCATTTCCATGGAGATTATTTGGCTCCGCCCCCTTAGTCATGGTCTAATTGAAAATTTTGCTAAGTTAACATGTATTAGTTTGTGATTAGGTCAGTTCAAGGGGAACCATTAGTGGTAGGCCAATGTTACTTGGTGTTCAGTTGTATAAGCATTAGCACATCTCATTTCCATGGAGAATATTTGGCCCCGCCCCCTCAGTCATGGTCTATTGACTTTGAAACTTTTGCTTAGTTTACATGTATTAGTTTGTGATTAGATCAGTTTAAGATGAACTGCTAATGTTTAGTCAATGATATTTGGTATGCAAATGTATTGGCATTTGCAAGTATTGTTTCCATGGAGATTATATAGCCCCACCCCTGATCATGGTTCATTGACTTTGAAATTTTTACATAGTTTACTAGTTAATGTTTGTGTTTAGGTTTGTTTAAAGGGAACGACTTATAATAAGTCCATGATATTTGGTATGCAGTTGTATTAGCATTGGCACATCTCATTTTATGGAGATTGTTTAGCAATGTACCTTCAGTCACGGTTCATTGACTTTGAATATTTGCATAACTTACATGATAAAGTATTGCTATTTTAATTTCAACATTTGCATTATCAAAATTACAAAAAGGCGAGACATATCTCTGTGATAACAGTTTATTATCAAGTAAAAGTACTGTTTGAATACCAGATTGAGTGATAACTGTTATGATTATACACAGGTGGAGTTCTCTTCTTTGTCAATCTTTATTGACCAAATTACCAAACTTTTGACTTGCACAATTTAGTTGACACTTTATGACAATTACTCAAGATTTTATATTTTATTGATAAATCTGACAGCATACCTATAACAATTAGAATATAGCAAAGTGCTCTCGACCAATGAATTTGTAGGATTTGATGTCTCTTAATTGTGAAGAATGAATGTAAATCATGTTCTTAGTAAGGGATTATCCTATTATTTGGGTCTATTTACAGTTCAAAACAAAGAGTTTCTATAAATGAGTTACAACTGCCCCGAAGCACATTATCAGATTGAAAGGATTTATCACAGTTATTGAAACTGACTAAAAGTGAAACAAACAAAAAAATCAAAATATGTTGAAGTTTACTGGTGCAGTAAAATTTGTACCTTTAATGTTATTATGAAAATATAACTTACTTTAAATAAAGCTAATACTAACAATGACCACTGCCCTTTCCTCGATCTTGATATCTATATCATTAACGGAAAGCTTAATACTAAAATATATGATAAAAGAGATGATTTTTCATTTCCTATCGTTAATTATCCATTTTTAGATGGTGACGTTCCCTTGTCACCATCTTACGGTGTTTATATATCTCAACTTGTACGATTCGCTCGTGTATGTAACAATGTTTTAGATTTTAACAAGAGAAATTTATGTATTACTGAAAAATTATTACACCAGGGTTTTCGATATCACAGACTAGTCAAAACATTTACTAAATTTTATCATCGGTATAAGGACATCATTCGTAAATATAGCTCAACATGCATACTTCTTATACGTTCAGGTATTTCACATCCAATTTTTTATGGAAATATTCTTTATAAAGCACAAAAATGTCAGTATTCACCTCTGAAACTAACAAAACCTTTAAATAGACTTATTAAGAAGGGATATAGTTACGATACTGTTGTCAGGTCATTAAATATTGCATATTTTGGCGTTAATATTGATTCACTTATAGGGTCTTTGCATCGACACTAAACACATTTATTTAAAAACCAGTTGTTGGCATGACACGGGTTATGTTCTTCTCATATATGTTATGATGGTATGATACTAAACCCCTAACGGGAAGGATTGTGCCTGATATTCATATGATGAAGACATAATCTTTCAATCAGTTTAATTGAAGTCTGGAGCTGGCATGTCAGTTAACTGCTAGTAGTCTGTTGTTATTTATGTATTATTGTCATTTTGTTTATTTTCTTTGGTTACATCTTCTGACATCAAACTCGGACTTCTCTTGAACTGAATTTTAATGTGCGTATTGTTATGCGTTTACTTTTCTACATTGGCTAGAGGTATAGGGGGAGGGTTGAGATCTCATAAACATGTT